ACCCGGAGCTGCGCTATGGGGCCCTGCTGCATCCCCTGCAGCGGCAATAGCAGGAGGGTGGCTGTCCTGAGCTCGGTGCTATGGGATGCCATACCTGGGGGAGTCCCTCCGCCCCTTCCAGGCTGCAAACATCACTTTGCTGCTGGGAATATAGAGCGAGCGCCAGAAGTAACACTGACAGACTTCAGAATTACGATACGGTGGAGCTCCGGCGTAATTCTTTGTTGAAGAAGTTAGAGGCCTAAAATGTTAAGGCTTATTGTTATTCTGAGTTGATAATCTCTGCCTTGCTTTAATAATTTTTCCTCATGCCTGGATAGCCTGCGAGTTGCACAATAATCACTCACACAGCTTTGTAATCAATGCCCAAAGTAATAGGATTCCGCTGGCCAACGGCAATTAATAAATTTGTGTCTTTTTTAAAACACTAGCAAGTCGGGCCTGAAATACGACTGACTGGCTTTCCTCATTTGCATATTTATTGCAGTGGAAAAATTCTTGCCGAATGATTGATGTTGAGCCTGCCTCTTGAATTCCAAACAGCACATTATTATGAAATGAAAAATGCCGGCCATACAGTTGATTAAAGTTGAAGACAGTGGAATCGGTGTTTTTTAAGATTGTGGGAGAATTAAAGGCATATTTTAATAGATGTTGACAAGAAGTGAACTAACAAAAGCAAAGCAAAGGATTTGCTTGAAAAGATTTAATCAAACGTGTTTCTTGGGGGATTAATTGCTGGGGATGACTAGTGCAAGTGGCTGGCTGGTGGATTTGAATGAGAAGTATTGTTCTGGGGCCGGCGTATTGAGTGCCATTTTGACCTGTAGTTTAACTCCTGTCCCACCGCCGTTTGAAAGCAGAGAAAATTTCCCCTCTTCATCTGAATGTTGGGATAAATACGTGCACCTGATAACAATGCTTTTCATTATGCACAGATGCTATAATAGGACACGTTGGAGTCCTTATTCCTGTTGGCACGGTGTGACCGGTGCGGCTCGTGCTGTGCAGTGGGGATGTGGTGGCTTCCCATGGTGGGACAGAACCCCCGTGTTTGGCAGCTCAGCCTTGGGAGATGCGTGATGGCGTTACCAGTTTGCTGGGCAATGTGAGCAGAGTCTGTTTTACCCACGAGCTTCCAAGTGCTGTTAGTTCCCAGCTGCCTCTCTCAGCACTTCTCCGTCTGTGCGTAATGGATTGAAATCCTGGAGTTTTGCCTCGGTTTTTAGGATTCCATCTCTGACCGCCATAACCACACATCTGTGCTCATAGCCCTGTGCTGGATGGAGGCAGCCGTGCAGGGAGGAGCCTGCCTCGTGGAGCTGCTCCAGGAGCCTCTCTGGTTGGCTCTCTGTGAATACCTCTGAAAACGTGGCCTCGAGGCACCCGCTTTTTCCATTGACTTGAAGTGTCTCTGCGTGCAGCCACTCCCTGCTGCTCCATGCCAGCTGCTGCTCTCTGCAGCTGCTTGGGAAGATGAAATGAGACCCCATTTTTAGAGGTCATGACAAAGAGCATGGATGTTTATCTGCACATGAAGCTGCCTTGCTGTAGAAGCACTGAATTTACAGTGATGGGAGCCCCCAGGGCACACAGGGAGATGTGCTGGTGGGTTGGTACCTGCAGCCGGGGATGCAGCAGCAGAGCTGGTTTGTCTGTAGCCACTAGCATTGACAAAACTGATTTTTGTGGTTTGAGAACAGTAGGACAGATTCCATCTCTGGTGGGGCTCCTGACACTTTGATACATGGCAGTGCTATCCCTGAATGGAGCTAAATACTCCAGGGCTACTTTCTGAATGGGTGAAGGGATGTATAAAATGAGAACGTATGAGAGAGCATTAACAGAAAGGCACACTTTGATTTACTGGTCCTGGCTCACAGCTTCCTTGGTGGATTGATGTGCTGTCTGCTGAATCTGGAACAACTCTTTCACTCCTGTACACAAAATGAAGGGGCTCCCATAGACTCTTAAAAGTGATTCTTACAAGTTAACATCTTACCCAGGCACTCTGAGTCCCATTGAAGCTGGAAGTTGCATTCAAGCTATGTTTGCTGTATGCTTGCTGCGGATGGATCCTGCTCAGCGTCAGTTCTCCTCTCCCGTGTGATAGTATTAGGAAAGCTCTGATGGAAGGGGGGGTTGCCCTCATACTGGGGTTAGTTGGCCACTCCATGCATGGAGTATGGGTTGTTTGGGGATCTGAGTGGCTCATATTCCATAAAGGAATGTAGATGCTTTTGTTTTCAAAGAAGTGCTATGGGAACCTGTTCTCAAAGAACACGAGTTGGGCGTATAGAAGTAACTTCTGCAGAGGGAGAGAGTTTTCTGGTTGTTTTCATTGATGGTTTATGGTCCAGCATAAGGGCAGGTGTTAAGCTGTACAGAGGTATGTTAGCTTTGTTCTGTGCATGGAGCAGGAGAGAGAGCAGGGGGTAGAAGCCATGGTTATCACATGTGAAGACTGCCGGTTGGTTTTCTTAATGTATTGGTGCGCCTGAAAGCTCCATGTTTGTAGCTTTTCTGATTAATTGTCTGCTTCAGATGACGAGCAGCATTAAAAATGTAGGTATGTGCTGGGAGGGTTGGAGAGCAGGAGGGTTAGTGCCTGGCTTTCCTTCAGAACGAGCCAGCATACATCTGTGGAATGGTTTTGCTTTACACAGCCTTTCTTCACAAGTGACTTAAGGCTTCTCCCCAGTGCAGGCAGTGCAAAAGCAGATGAGTGTTTGAGGGAAGAGGAGACAGAGAAGGGAAGGAGAATGGGAAGGAAACAGTCCCTCCAGGAACTGCGTGAAATGGGTAGGGCTGTGCTGGGTGAGGAGAAGGCAGGGGAAGGTGACACTCAGCTTCTGAAGTTGAGTTTACTGCGCACTTAAGCACCCAACATTAACAGTGAGAATAGCATCCAGTAATGCTATTAAATACACACGAATTGAAAGCAGGAAATTACTCAGCTGTAAGAGGCTCACGACGAAGCTGCTGTCTGCAATAATTAGCCCTCCCACCTGGTTAGATGCACGGTCATTGTCTTCCCTGCCCTCTCCATCCCCTTCACTCCAAATAAAATTGCTTCCCATCCCCACTTCTGTTGGGGTCCGTATCTCATAGCCTGGGGGAGCTTGAGCCTGTCTTTATTCCTTGCCTGCTTGCCGTGGCCCTGATATACCCCAGAAGAGCTGGAGTGCTACTCCAGTTGTAATTGACAGGATCAAAGCTGCCTGGGGTGCATTAGCACTGCTGCTGGAGGATAGACAGCGGGTAGAAAATAAACAGTTTCGGAAGCTCTGGGGACATTTAGCTGTGTTGCAGGCTGTGGGAAGGATTTTGCTGTTGTGAGCTGTGCACTCAGGGTAGGGTGGGGGCAATTTCCTTTGGAAATGATGCTTTAGCTGCAGACACGTACAACAAATGCATTTTTAAGGGCTTTTGTCTGTTTGTCTCTTAGAATTGTTTTGATGCGAGCACACAACTGTTTTACAAGTACAGCAAACATAATCCGTTAATAGCTTTATATAGAAGAGCTGTCAGAATGTATCTGTAATGAACCCTGGGCTGGGGGAGTCCGACTGCTCATCTGCAACAAAAATCTGAGAGCTGACAGCATCTCCTCTCCAGCGTTGCTGTTACTGAGGTCAGGCCATAATCTGCCTGAAGTTGGTGACAACTAGGCGATATCACAGTGGTAACGTATTGAGAACTCTGCGTGTCAGGGCTGAGTTCTTCTTGTGCTGCCTGTGTCCGGCTGATGAAGATCTGCCGTTCGCTCTACCTGTGATACCCACGTCCTCCATTAACAAAAGAGGAATCGGGTGGTGAGAATAAATACAAAGGAATCTGTGCAGTTCCCTTTAGGGTTTTGGAGAGAGGCGTATTCTGTGGTTTTGCCTTGAAGAGCCAACCCTGTGGCTGATGTACAGCAAGGTGCAGGAGTGTTTGTGTACACCCAGACACTTGTTTAGATCAGGGTGTTCTGCAGGGGGCTTTGCTGCATGCCATGAAAGAGCTATTTTTAAAGAACAGATGTGGCAGCAGTGTGCAGTTAACCCTTCCCTACAGCCAGCTCCACTGTATGCCCTTGGAGAACATAAGGTCATTGGAACAGAGATCATTTTCTCTGCATCTACATCTGCATCTATTTTATAGATACAGAAAAGTTGCCAGCTCTGAGAGCCTTTGCATGGGGAACATCAGATCAACCTTCAGGATTTGTGGCCAGCAGTCCTGCTTTTCTGATCAGAGTCCTCTCATTAAACTTGCCAGGTCATTGTTTAAGTTTTCCCCGTAGATCAGATCTTGCTACATTTAATTTTACTTACAATCTAATTTCTTATACCTCCTGCGTGGTGAGCACAGCAGCATAGAAACCAGCAATAGTCACAGCCCTGCAGGAGTTCGCTTTTCCTTCGTGCCCTCCCTCCTCCTGCTCCCTATAGCACGCACATTATGTGCAAGAGAGAAAAGTCAGAGGTCACACTGAGAGAGGATGTGTTTATATTCATTTTCCTTTGTGTTGCTTCATAATATTTGGCTGAAACTGACCTCTCTCACAAAACTTAATGCAAAGAGAAGTGAGTTAGTCAGCAGAGAAGGCTGTTGTCAGATGTGTGTGTCTCGGAATGCTTCTTCACACGTTGCTGTGTTTCTTCAATATCTTAATCCTTCAGGCTGTGCAGACTGAATGTTTGTCAATGAAACATTAGATCAGTGTACTCCCAATGTGCAGCCAGGCGAAAGTTTAGAAAGCAGTCCTCCCTCCCATCCTCCCTTTTTAGGAAAAAATTGTTCTTTATCAATGCAGTGTTGTTCAAGATGAACAGTTATAAATCAACGTGAAGTTAAATCCACAACTCTGATGGTTGGAGAGAAACATTTGCTTGGACATGCGGTAGCTGAGGCAGCAGTTCAGATTTGGAAAGAGAAACTAGGCTCTGCAAAGCAAGTTTTTATCAAAAGCAGCAATCGGTAGGAAATTGTCACTTGTGTCTCTTGTTCTGCAGGTTGTAAAGCCATAGACACATTGCTGAGAGTGCTGGTGGACATTCAGGATGAGTTGCTTTATCAATGCCCGGGCACAAGGCACCTGGTAGATGGAAAACAATCAAAACCTGAGAGGTAAATACAAAAGATGATCTTTCTGAATCCTTTGGTCTCCAACTAAATGAGAAAATGCACAGCTTCCCTGACCATACTCGTTCTCTGCTTTTCTCTCCATTGTGTTGGATTTGGTGACAGCCATGCTGGGTGAATGACATTCCTTCCACCAGCGTGGGAAGTCTGTTTTGTAATCTTTCTGAAAGCAGAGGAGAGACTAAACTGCTGCTCCTTCCCCATCAGTATCACTGTGGAGTGGAACAAGTCTGACTTGTAGCAAAGGGGCTGCTGAGAATTCACACGTGTTGCCTCAGACAGGGGTGGGGTGTTTAGTCTATATTTGTTTACTTTTTAGCGATGATGAAATTCCCAGCAGCAGCGATGAAGAGCGAGCGGGTGAAGCTCAGGAGAAGAGGAAGCGCCCTCCCAAACGAAAGCTGAAGGCTGAGGACTTCCCAGAGTTCATAGCCAAGAGGTATGACGACTACAGGACGTACCGGAACAACACCCTGCAGAAATGGCATGAGAAGACAAAGCTGGCATCTGGCAAAATGGGCAAGGTAAGTCTGTGTGTGTGCCGACGTGTGGTTAGTAGAGATCTGTGGAACAGCAGTTGATTTGGAAGTCTCCTGTCGTGGATATTCCATGCTAAGCCAAGTTTTGCTTGATCAACAAGTAGTTCATGTTTTACAACACGATTAGGAGTTACTATGCCCCTCCTCCTTTACAGCATGTACACTTTAATACTATGGGTAATCACGTCCCCATAGGATCCAGGTTCTCATAGCATCTGTGAATTTAATATTAATCATCGAGAAGTTCATCTGAACCAGAGCAACAAAGGCATTTTATTATTAAGCCATGCCTCAGGTTGGGAAGGGAAAGAGAGAGAGAAATAAAAAAATAACAAAAATAGCAAAAATCTGTGCAGCAAAACCTGAGCCCCCTCCTCTTGGAATGCTGTCTGCTTATCCACTGACATGGAAAGATAGAGGAACATTGCTGCCTTGAGGAAAAGCTTTCTGCATTATCTGACACTAGTTAATGTTGTTGCAGGGTTTCGGTGCCTTTGAGCGTTCAATCTTGACTCAGATTGATCATATTTTGATGGACAAAGAGAGATTACTACGGCGGACACAGACCAAGCGATCAGTGTACAGAGTGCTGGGGAAGAAGGAGCAGGATTCCCATCCAGCCCCTGAATATTTGCCTGAAAATTCGGTAAGGGTGTTTTGTTTATATGGCTCGTGCTGTAGAACCGGTGAAACTCTCTGCAAAACAATTAGCCTTTACAGGTAATATTCTTGTTTGTGAGATTGATGAGGAACCTGAGCATTGATTCATGTAATGCAGTGACTAGCAACAATATGTAGACATTTCAATTCCGGTTTTATGGTGTGTTATCTCTTGTGCCAGTTCTCGACAGGATAAAACGTTTGGTCTCTGACTGTGCCCCTCCTGTGCTGTAGGAGCTGCTGGTCACTAAATCTGCCTGAGGCAGTGGCTACAAAGCTTTGTTTTGACTCTGGAGTTTAGAATCTTTAACCCAGAAAGTCACAGAAAATCCTACTGCATGTCATCTACAGAGCGCATTGGCAGTACGTCAGTTATTAATTTAGTATTTAAGAATGAATAAATACTCAATTCTGATAGATCATGTGGAATTACTGCGCTTGCAAGATGTATTTTTGCCGTTATGTTACAAATATCTGTAGTATTTTGCCAGTCAGACTTTGTGTAGTCCTATTTATTTCCTAGCAAAGGTATCATAAATCTGTTTTGGCATTGGCAGAATTTCTGCCTTGCCTTAAAATGTATTCCTAGTCCTTAAAAGCTTTCTATGATGGAAGCTGTTCTCCATTCCTTCCTATTTTCAAGTGTTTACAAGCTGCTACATGTGAAGTTGTCAGAGCTGGGGATGGAAGCATGCAAATATGAGTGTTCAGTATTTCCTTTGTGCTTCTAGGAAGTCCTCCCTGAGGCAGATTCCAACATGCACCTGAAGGACATAGACGAGGAAATATTTGATGATGATGACTTTTATCACCAGGTAAGTGTCTGTCAATCCGTGTTGGCATTATGACTTCACTTGTTTTTGAATACTCACCAAGCTAATGCAGCTGACTGTGGTCTGAATCTGTCTGATCAGTGAGCGTCAGTTGTCTCTTAGCATCTGGAGTCTCTGTAGATTGTTCAGGGAATTTTCACACTCAGCTTTCCACGTAGGGCTTAAACTTGTGCTGTGAATATGAACTTGCTGCTGTGTTGGAGAATCAGGGCTCCAGCATTGGATCTCCATCTGTGATTCTCACAGATGAACATTGCTACACAATAGAGAAAAATTACTGAATTATCCAAAGGTGACTTTTTGTTGTTGTTGTTGGTAGAGTACAGTTATGAAAAATGATTGTAGTGGATCCTTAAAAGCACCGAAGTTACTTTCATCTCAACTGAACTCATCTGCTTAAAATGAAAAAACTGCAGAGCTTCTGTGGAGCACTTCCCTTGGAGTTATGCCAGGTTGGATTTGGGCCAGCTATTCTTTTTATTTGCACGATTCTTAGGAACAAGGTATCTGTGCTAAGCACAGGAGGCTGAAGCTTAGGAAAACCTTGTGCTTGTAATGTATTTAATAAATGGCAGTGCCAGCTTCATAAAATACTGAAATTGCCATGCGTTGAGGAGTACGTCTTATCTCAATGCATGAAAAACTGCTTTTGCTCTGATGATCCACGGAGTGTTTTCATGTCAGGACTAAACAAATATAATTATATTCTTAGAAAGGCAGACATTTCCAATCTGAATTAAAATAGGTGCCAAAGTGTGTGGGCAGTGAAAGAGAGCTGTTACCACGTAGGTGTGCTGGGTTAACTGATATAGCCAGAAAAATTCAAATACTTCCAAAATTTGGGATTTCTCATGCAGAGCCAGGACTAGAGGTGAGTAAAACAACGTGTTAACACAGGTCTGGGGATGGGTGAGCACTGTGGTGTTGGGAGCAGTGGCTGAGGAGACCAAATGTGTTATGCAGTGAGATGACATTCTCATAGAATTTGGGGTCCAAGTGGACTGTTAGGACACAGAACGAATACAGTAAGTGCAATAAAATAGAGGAATGGTCAAGGAGAAATGTCTGTGACCGACAGCTTTCAGACCTGTGCAGGTAAGGTGCTTACTGACTGAAATGTTAAAATTTTTGTAAGAAAACTAGCAATAGATGGACGGTCTGTCTTCATTTCTAATAACTTTAAATTTGATAAATCCTAACTTCAGAATTATGACTAGTTACAGCTTAGCTTTTCCCCTCACTGGTTAATTGGGGTGCTGGGGTTAATCTAAATTAAAACTTAAACTAATAGAGGTCACTGAGGGAGGAGAATCACCTGAGTAAAACAAATGGGTCTGCCAGGCACGACTGTGTCTTGGCCATTTCCCAAGAGAGAAGTGGCAGCAAATTGGAGTTGTTTCAGCATTCAGGAGAGGTGAAGGATGGGTGACACCAGTTTAACGTATGGCACCTCCGGAAGCATTCCAGATTGCATTCCTTGCTGTTCCAACTGCTGCCTCCCGCGCACACTGAATAGAAGCGGGACCCGCTGACAACATCTGGCTGCACAGCAAGGAATGGGTGCAACTTCTGAAACCCCATAGACTCTAAATATGGCGCTTAGCCTGGCGGAGGCTTTAATCACTTACTACTCTTTGGCAGCGGGCTCCGACAGCTTATCCTAGCCTCGTACATCACGCACAGACATCTGCTGAGCTGCGAGGCAGCTACACATTCATTTTCCTTTCTTGTTGTTGTGTTTTTTTGTTGTTTTTTTTTTTCCTCCATCCCTCCCTCCCTTCCACCCTTCTCCTCCCGTCCCCAATATGCTTCTTGGGAGAGATGATCTGTAAAGATTACTGCTTCATTGTGTGCAAGTAATTGTGGGGATGCCAGCCCCTTGACAGACACGGCGCAGCACCTGTTCCGCTGACCTGGTTAATTTCTTCTGTTGAGTGGGATTTGGCAGAGATTGGAGCTGAAGCCAATTCAGTGATAAGGCTAAAGAAAATGGCTGTATGTTTTCTGTCACCTCCCAATTAAATTGGTTTCATAAAGTGCTTTCCTTTATTTGTCAGGGTGGTAAGCTGAAGCTGAACATTGCATTCAGAAAGGGTAGAGTGCATTACAATAGAGTGCTGACAATACAGAGAATGTGTTTTCTTTCAAACAGGTCATAACTGAGCAGTGCTTTGTGTGTGTGTGTGCGTATGTGTGTGTTTGTCTGTATGTACACGTATAAATACTGGGTAGAAAGGGCACTGCTTCTTCAGCAGTAATGGGCAGCAACATGGAGCTGAGGCTGCTCAGAAACTGCCCTCCATGCATTATACTCATTGCACATGCGTACATCTAAATGGGGACTTTTGTCTTTGTTTTAAATTTAGGTCCAGGCTTTTTTTTTAGTACTGCTTTCATTTCTCTGAATACCATTTGGTAATAATTTATTTTGGTTACTACTTATTGCGGAATGGTGAGATGTATGAGAGGAAACAATGTGGGTAGAGAAGGACGTGAGACACAAATTCCTGTATATTTCAGTGCAAAATTAAGCAATTAAAAATGAACGAGATCTGATCAATGCACGCAAATTAATGGTAGCAGAATGACTAGCTGGACTATTTTATTATAGAATATAATCCCGAACTCTCTAATGAATCTGTTTTTCCTTTGGATAACCATAATTTTCTTGTCCAGACCTTGGAGGCTGATGGAATTTGCCATGTGGGGCTGAGGGACCTTACAGCGACTTGGGGTTGAACTCTGTTCTGTTGTTGGCCCCTCTTTGCCTTCTCTCATCTCCTTCAGTCGATGATAACTGTTACAGTCCTTGTTGTGGCAGCCCAGGCTGAGTGCTAATGTACGGCTGGGCTGAATGGTGCCAGAATTGTTTCCAAAAGATCCTCATTAGTGACAGCAGCTGAGAGGCCAGACTCCATTTCCTTTCCTCCTAAACTCTTGTTGGTACGTGGTTTTAAGGGAAGAAAAAGGCTGGATGTTTTTAGAAGTCGTATTTACGTAGAATCCATTACGGCCAATATTGCAGCATTAAGGCTTAACATTCCGTCCTGCTGCCTGAGAGCTGCTGCTCTGCCATGCTACAGTGGAGATTTTATTATTAGCTTGAAATACTTCGCTAAAAAAGAGAGTGGAAATGGGTTTATTTCCAACAGGAATTAGGGTAGTGTTCAGATGCTAAGCGTTGCACCGATGGCGGCTCTTCCCAGAACAAATGTTCCTCATTGATGGCAGCAGGTACGTCTAAGGAGAGGCAGGAATATCCTAATCCCTTTTTCTTCCTGTTCTCCTCCTCCCCCTATTTGGTTGTGCTGTACATCACTGTGTTTTCTGACAGCACTGCCCCAGAAATGGCACAGAGCTGGGGGTGGGAAGGAGCTGCCCTTGGGCTGCGGTTTGCTGGGGCACTGCCTGCAGTCTGCATGGCAGCTGAGGGACCTGTTTGTGCCTGGGCTTTGCTCCCAGCAGTGGGAAGAGCTTTGTTCTGTTTGTAGTCTGTGCTGCTGTTATGTGGGGCAGGAGTTGATGTCGTAGAAAACTGTGGAGGAGCTGTGACTCGGTTGTTCCTTGTAGAGTGGCACCTCGTACCCACACACAGCTCAGAGCTGTGAGCAAAACTCGCTTCCTCGTTCCTAGCTTTGCATTTGGAATTCCTCCTTTAATCTGAGTGACTGCAGGCGAGCTCCTGGCTCCCTTGGTAAGGTATTTGTAGCTCGCTTTGTTCCTCTTCTGGGTTGTGTGCACTGTACAACTTTTTAAGGCTCTTTACATCCTTGCATCCCAGCCAGGAGTGTGCCTGAAGCAGTTCCCACTCACACGCCATTTTGCTCTCCCAGATATTTGATAATGCCATAAACAAGTGATTACTAATCCAGTAACTATTACAAGTGGATAATAGTGAAGAACAGAGAGAAGGCTGACTTTCTGACAAGCTGGTTTACTTTAATTAAACTGGTGAGTGATTAATATGGACAGCTGATCGTGTGACTTTAATGAGATGCGTTTTGAGTTTTGTGTGAATAAGAGACGTCTCGAACCATCCCACAGGTTAATGGCAATACAGTGCTCTTATTGCAGGCGTGTGTCTTTCAGATGGCTGGGTAGATGGTTAATAGCACATTTTAAAGCTTGATTTGAAACGTCTCTTCATGGGGTTATCAGAAAACACTTGTACTCCATCCCTGTTTTATCCAAAACTGAATCTCAGCGAAGTTTTTCTTTTTAAGATGACCATCCAGTGATTCAGCTTGTGCTTTAGGTGTGTGTGTCACAAACAGATGATGGGTAGTTAGATATTGAAGTGTTTCATGGGGATTTAAAAGTAAAATTTGGGCTGTGGTATAAATTTTCTCTAGTGCTGCTGGAAATCCAAATGGAGTTAAGTGACCACGCAGTGCCAGCTTAAAGGGGAGAAGGAATGTCTTATTTTCGTGTCCAAGCAGACTGCACTATGAGATGCATGCTCAATAGAAACCACCTCTTCGTTATTTATGCTCTGAATAATTGTGAAGTGTACGAGAAGGAAAGTGAAAAATAATGTGATTTACCACGTCTGTCCAAAGAATAAAGGAGATAAAAGAAATAAATTAGAAAGCATTGGAATGGCAATCATAAAAGGCCACATTGTCAACTTTCTGCTGGGGAGCGGAGTGATTTTGCATTTTCACCACCGAGGAAGGTAAGCAGTTGGTGTTCCTGCTCTTCACTTGGACTTCACACGTTGTCCTCAGCTTCTCTGCTCCTCTCTGCCCAGCCAATGCTGGGGCAGCACCAGGAGTGCATGGCTCTGGTGTGCTGCAGCAGAAAGGCCTGAGCCTTTCCTGCAGACTTTAATAACATCAGAGAAAAAGTATTTCTCTTGTTCCAGTTATGTTTCTAAGGTTTGTAAACTAAACTGTACCCCATGGTACACTACTTCTGCAAGATAGGAATGCAGAGTGGTCTGTGAGGGTGTAGAAAGGGCCCTTTTGCCACAAAGCTTCTTTGGGCTCTTTGTTCCAGCTGGCAAGTCCTCAGTCTGCACATCAGAAAGGTCAGCAAGTGTAGTGCTAAGAACGCTGATAGATAGTGCATGAAAATGAGACCTAACCTCTGCAGTGCAAATTGACCTCTGAGATGAGAAATGAATCTCTATTACCCTTGAACAACACCCTGATGGCATTTCTAAATCCCCCTAATTTTGTACAATGTGCTTGCTTCTCTTTAATCAGCAGAGGAAGGAGTCCCTGTGAGGTGAATTCTTTAGAAAGCACACATTGTTGGCTCCAGCGTGAGCTTTACCAAAGGCTTTGGTGCTGGTAGAGGCAGGCACATGGCTTCTCCTGGCTTGGAGCTGGCAGCTGAGCCACAGGCTGTGTGGATGGGCAGCTGTGTTTGTTTGCATAGCAGAGAGAGTTTGGGTTTCTGAAGTTCAGGGAAGATGGGAAGAGGTGAAGGAGGGAAAGCAAAAAAGGATATGTTTCAAATCAAAGCCTTTTGATGCTGAAATTGCCTAACTCAAACTGTCTTCACACATCAGAGCTTAATTCTGATAGTGATTTACCTACACTTCCTAGTTAATAATTAGACATTGGGAGACACCATATATCACTCCTAATGGAATATATGGGGTCTGATGATAGTTTTCTGTTTTGACTAATAAATTTTAACCCGAATCTCCAAGCTTAATGAAATATTACAGCTTCGGAAGTGTTTTAAGTCTTGTGCTGTGAAAACAGTGTTATGTTATTCAGTAAATGAGTTTATCATTCATTCTGTACCTTGAGCCCTAGCTGGCTCTGGAGCATGGGCTGAATGCAAGACTCTGAACTAGAAAGCGGAAAAACTAATCAAATCCTTAAAGACCAAAGGCAGTGAGGCAGGTCTAGACTGACTTTTTCAGCGGTAGCCTCTGGCCACATCCACTTTTATTTTAGTAACCATTGTTAGCATGATTTATAACGTAAGCTTTCAGACGTACGCTATTTGGATATAGCAAGATGCTGCACAGCTTTTATTTCTCTTTCCTTGTTTCCCTCTTGTGCCTGCTCTGCTGTAATTCCCCCTCACCTTTGTTTCCCCTGCCTCACCCCAGCCTGGCTGCTGGGGCTTTTTCAGTGCAGCATTCAGCATCAGCCCCGAGGTCAGCAAGGCACAGCCTGGTCAGCAAGGCACGGTCTGCCCCACGGAACAGCTGATCTGCTGGAGGTCAGGGGAGTGCAGAAGAGGCAGCTGCCTGCAGGGTTTGTCACCCAGTGGTGCACAGGGCTCTTCCCTGTGCTTCTGGTGTCGGTGGGCCGCCAGGAGGAGCAGGTCCTGCTGCAAAGCCTTGCTGCTCAGCTCTGAGTTCTGCTGCCTTACCTCTGCCCACACAGCTCAGCACTTTTTCCATGCATTGTGCCAAGGAAGCGAGATAAGAGGAGACAGTAAACACATCCTATTGCCACTACAGGAAGAAACCACTGAAACATAGCTGCACCATTCCTTGCCACTGTTAAAACCCTCCCTCCCACCTTGCTTTTGACAGAATATTGACTAGAAACCAAGATCCCATTTCTGCTTAGCCTTAAGGGCAGCTGTTTACAGAGTGGCAGTGTTACATAGGTTTACTGTGTCGTATGTCTGTGTAACACTGGATTTGGATCTTGTATTTAGCTGCCAGAAGTGACGGTGATGAAGTGGGAGAGATAAACTGATAGATTGTGTGCCAGAAAGATGTTGGGAATCAATCAGATAAACGGGGCAGAGAAATAGCTTGCTGTTTTCTAGTGATAATAAACCAGAGACCTCAGTTTCAGGAATTTTTAAATGTAATTGCTGCAGTAATAATCTCTAAAAATAAGCAAATAGAAAGAAGTAGCAGCAGGGTTTTAATTGTACTGGAATTGCACTTTTTTTTTTCCTTCTTTCTTTTTTTTGGGGGTGGGGGGGGCAGTCTGATGTATGCCTTGAAGGCAGGGAAGATGGGAAGATGTGGACAGGAATGAAATGTTCTCTGGTACTTGAGTGTCACTGGTTTAGAAATTAAAAAAAAAAAAAAAATCATAAAATGATAAAATGCCTACTTTGATGGCATTTTTTGTGGGGTGCATGCCTTGCACCTTCATCCCAGTGCTGCACTTGTGTGCTCAGGAGCTGCAGGAGTGGGTGAGTTTTGCAGTGCCTGGGGGCAGCTCTGGGCATCAGCTGTGCCAGTGTGGGCAGCACCCATAGCAATGCAGCTGTTGCTCAGCTGGGATTGACTGCTGTGCTCCAACCCTCCTCCTTCAGCAAAAATGCAGGGGAGAAGGAAGGTATCACTCATCCTATCTTTGGTACGCTTGTTGGGTTGGCTGGGCTCTCTCTTTTCCAGGGCTGGTTCTGGTTTGGGTGCTGAAATGTGGGCATCCAGAAGAGATCTGTGCCCCTCTGTTCCAGAGGGTTTGTTTCTGTTCTCTGTGTCGCTGTGCAGGCTCATACCCAGGCACAGCACGTGCCATCTGCAGTGAGGGGTGATAAACACGCGGCCCTGGTCAAGTATCCAAAAAGGCTGTTCACAGTGTTCTTTGCTCTCAAGAAGTGAAAAGGACAAAACCTAACCCTCAGGACATGAAAAGAAATAGAAAAACCTGCTTGAGCATTCCTGCTCTGGCTGTAAAAATTACATTGCTGTTCTGTTCCTCAGAGTGTGAGCGCCGAGCAGCGCTTGTGTTCTGTTTTGTGAAGGCATGTGGGGCAGAGATCTCACTGCACATCTGCCAGCATTCCACCCCATGTCAATAGGAGTGGTGCACACAGCAGCCTGTGAAAGCTCTGGTGTTTTTATATTCCCAAAAGCCCAACAAACAGCAATGATCCCTGAAATACAAACTCAGCTCTTCATTCTGCCCCATGGTGAGGGGCAGCTGTCTCCCTTGGGAACTTGGGGAGCACATTCCTCAAGTTTTCTTGAGGAAAGTTTTTTTTTGAACCTGTTTGCATTGACTTGTCTTTATTGTGCTTCTAAAAAGGATTGCTGTCTTTCTTCCAGCTCCTTCGAGAACTGATAGAGCGTAAAACCACCTCATTGGACCCCAACGATCAAGTCGCCATGGGCAGGTGAGTAGGAAGTCGTCTGCAGCATCACCAGCTCCTTCCAGCCCTGAAATACAAAACTGCTTGTGAGCTTCCAGTCCTCCCTGCTGGAAGAGCAGCTATGGGAGTGTGTGTGTGGGGAGGGGGAGAAAATTCATTAGGTGAAATTTTGGAAGTGAAATAACTTTTATCCTTTTAAAATACTACCCAAATTTTAGTGCAGTGTGTCAAATGTATTTTGTGTACGTCTGAAATACTATGGAAAGCTATTCACTATAATTTAACATGATATAGACAAAATTACATTTAAGTGGTGATTACATTGTACATTTATCTGACTTTACAATAAAATAGATTACAGTAATTAAGATTATATTAAGATTGCAGTAATTGGATTTTGCTAGATTTTTTTCCCCGATGTTGAGTTTTCGTTGTATAAATCAGGTGAGATGACACTCATTTTCATAAAAAATATATTTATAACTTGGAGAAGTTTTTCCCTACTGAGAACTTTTTTGACTTGATGGCGTTCTGTTAGAGCACTTCGAGCCCTCCCTTCTCAATTCCATTGGGAATCAAGCAGCACTTTTTGAAAATGTTGATTGCTTTTCTTTTTTTTTTTTTTTGTAGTTCTGCTTTGTAAGAGGTGGAACGATATGTAGGACTTCCTGCTGGATTTTCCAGGTTTAATAGGCAGAGATGATGGGAAGAAATACTTATCATTTCAATGTGCTGTGCAGAACTGAGGGAGGAAATAAATTCAGAGCATCTCCTGCACTGTGGTAATCCCGTTCATGAAGTTGGCATTACCTTTTTCACCTGAAGTGTCAGTTTAGAACAGGTCAGACCATCTGCTCCATTATTGTACATGGAAAAGAAGTCTCTCTAATAAGCAGTGCTGAAACAAAAGAGCAGTACCTTTAAAAGATGTTTTTTTAAACAGATTTTAGCATTTGTATTTGGTAAGGATTTTCTTCATAATCCTAAAGATTCTTGAAAAAAATAATAATCTGTAATCATGAAAGAATAAAAAACAGAGCCAACCCTGTTGCCTTCATGGGTTTCCCTGCAGATGAAGAAATCTCAGTGAGCAGTGATGATCTCATTGGGACTGGCAGGACCCAGCTTGGAGCCTGGTGTGGCTGGAAGGAGAAGTGCTTCTTGTTTAAATGCCACGTTCTTGGAGTGACTCAGTAACGTGGTCATTGGGGGTTTCATGCTTGTTGTCCTGAGGTCCTCATCTCCTTTATTTTTGCAAATGAAGGAATCAGAAGAGCTGGGGAGTGCCTCAGATCTCAGTGTGCCTAATGCTCATTTGCCTTGTGGTTTTAAAAATCGTCTAACTGTGATTTTACATTCCTCAGACAATGGCTGGCCATCCAGAAGCTACGGAGCAAAATAAAGAAGAAAGTGGACAGAAAAGCCAGTAAAGGAAGGAAAATCCGGTGGGTGACAGCTTCTGCAGGCAGCCTGAAGTTCTGGTTTTGCCAAGTAAATTTGGACTACATAGGTTGGCTCTGGGGTGCACTGGCACAGTTGTTCATCTCCTTCAGGGCAAGATTCCATGCCCTGGGGCTTCCTCTGGGGAGTCTTAATGTTCTTTGAGCCTAAGGTAAGGGGTTGGTTGGATGCAACCTATGAGTGTTGCCCGGAGAATGTTTGTTGGTTTCAGAACACCCCTGGCAGGAGTGTACAGATGCCCCTAAGCAATTTGGGGTTGTAATTTCTGGTGAAAGCCAATAAGCACTTCTTGTGCAATATATATTTAGCAGGGTAAAATGTGGAGAGCAGCTTGAGGGGAAGACCTGTAAACAAGCCCAAGTGAGGTAGATGCCTGTTTCCCACTGACAATTGGAATGTAGTGTCTAAACTCTATTTTTAAGTCACATCACAGCTTTCTTTAGCTTCACATTCTGATTTCTCGGTCAGTAATGCAGGTTTCCCATGGAAGAACTGTCCATTCTGCAGGGTGGAGAGAGAAAGCAGCCTGGAGAAGATAGTTGCTTGCTTTATTTTTCCCCTTTGCAGAGCAGATATATTAGTCTCCCTGAGTTTAGCATGACTGTATGATTTGTAGTGAAGGAGGTGTTCGTGGCAGGGAGGCATGCTGAAAAGCTGCACCACATCCTGAAAAATCTGCAACATTAACCATCCTTTTGTGAGTAAACTATAAATCGTGAGTTGAGATGGCATCTGATAGAAAGTCAGCGGAGTCAGTCTGGGTCAGGCCTGGCATAGCAATTTTTAAGATAGATGTCATAAGATAATTTATTAAAAGAGGGAAGAGCTACTTTGTTGGCCTGAAAAGCCTATAATTATTGACTATCAATATTCTTTTCTGTCAGCATCACGCATAATTGGATATATTCATGATTCAGTCAAAACTACTGACAGCATCACACAACTGAGTCAGACTCGTAAACCTCCAGGAATAATGGGGGATTCTTGTTGTGAGCAATCTGTGTGCTTCAGCATTCCTGAGAGATGGGCTGTCTTGCTAAGTCCATTGCCTCAGATCTTAGGTGCCTCTTTATTTTGTTCTCTAAATAAAAGTTGCACTGAGCCCTCAGGAAGAATGTCAGTATTAATATGGAGGTAAGCTCCAGCATCTTGTCCAGAATAGTCCAGTAGAGCCCCAGTGGGTGTTTTTAAATGGATGGTTCTTCCACTATAAGACTGTGTCACCCTAACCACATTGCTTCTAACCACACTGCTCAGCAGATGTTCTCTCTTTCCCCCCCCTTCTCCCTTAGATTGAGCTAGTGGTTCTTAGATTTCTTTTCATAGAGGACTTGGAGATCCTGGGAAGCAAAGTATCACGCACTACGTTTCATCCATCTCTGTAATTCTTCCTTTTCTTCCAAGTGTTCAGTGTTAGGTCATGTCCAGGTGAGATGTGCTAATTCACTGTGTGGTCTGAGCATCTCCAAGTGCTTTCAAAAGCATTTGACCTCATGCTTGACATGAGGACCTGTCCCCTTCATATGGGGGGATGTTGAGGCACCAAGAGAAGAAGCAAGCCATTCCAAAAAGGGTGAGCTTAGGAAAGCTGGTGCCCAGCCCTGTGCTGTCCTGCTCAGACATTCCTTTGGTAGCTGTGGAGGAGCAGTGTGTGCACACCTATGTTCTTGTCAGTGATGTCTGGTCCTTTGCTGCTGCAACGTGGGATGTGGTCATGTGGATGGAGTTAGATAGCATGTATCTGCTAGACCAGGCTTTTCAAAGTCCTGGTTATGAATCACAGCAATAATTAGTTCTGAGCAAACAAATTTGTGTCAGAGAATTTATCAGAATTGCTCAGTCCCAACAGCACTGTGCAGACTGTAAGCTTTGAACTGTGGGAATCAATCAGTTGTTGATGTGAGTGAGCTGTTTCACAGTTCAGCCTGTTGACCCACTGCCTGTTGCTGCACTACCACGTGGTGATGTGTCTGTTCCCCAGTTTGATCACACCGTGTCAGATCAGCACAGCTCCTTCCATTCCCAGAGAGGCCCTTGTGTAAGGGTGAGCATGTGCTGTGCCTGAAGAGCCATTCTGAAATATTCTTGTAAGTTAAAAAATCCCCTCAAGGGAATGTTCCTGCATAAGCAAACAAAAGGGAGTGCAGAGGTGACAGAGAGAAAAGGTGATTCTGGGCAAATGCTTGTGAATCCTTTTGGCTGCTATTTGTCAAGCTCTAAAAATAGCAGCAACTTGGATAAAACATTTCTGAGCTGGGAAGGCGGTGTGGTAATGTACATCAGAGGCTGCTGGTTTGGAATCTCCTGCACTTAGACACGAGGGTTTGAAGGCACGTTCTCGTTCTGTTAAATTGTGTATGTCAGGTCCTTGAGTGCAAGTCATGAACAGCTACTGCCAGGTCCCAGCCCAGGACAGAAAGCAGGAGGGGATTGCTGTATCTGTAGGTGCACTGCAGCTAGCAGAAGTATTTTGGTGGGTCAGAAGCTGAGACACATGTAGCGCTGCATCACCTTGGGCATCCCCCTTCTGTTCTTTGGGTAGGTCTTTTTCCTGCCTTCTTCTTTGCCTCCTTTTACATCCTGTGTTTCAGAGTTACTCGAGGTAAAAGTTTCCAGCTATGGGTCTTGCTAGGGGAGAGGGATTTTGATATCCTTTGGGTCCCTGGCTGCCAGGTAGCATGGAAGACGTGATAGCAGATGGATGCTTGAGAATATCTGATGCTCTGGTGCTTCTGCTGCCTGCAGAGGTCTCTGGGCAGAATTGCCAGAATTGCCAGAAGGCAATTAAGGCGCCAGCTGAAGGGCAGGCTGAAAACAGGAGTTCTTGTTTCTCTGCTTGCCTTTTCAGGGCTGTCTGTCTGGGAGTCTGATTAGGTACTCACACACAATTAATGGATGCTGTATGTCCTCATTCTAGCTGTGTCGAAAAAAGGATTTGCTTGTTAGTCATCCATTCGGTTCATTGTATCATCTGATTATTCTTCTGTCCATGTTATAAGAAAGGAGGAAGAGGGGAGGGAGGGAGAATTGCCAACTGTAAGTAGTAACTCATTAGGTATGAGCCACCAGGAGAACCAGCACCTTCTTTGCAGGGGCTGATATGTTTCTATTCAAACAGCAACTTTTCCTTTTCATTAGTAGTTACTAATGTGCTGCCTGCTTATTCCTGCCCTATTTAGGTATCATGTCCATAGCAAGCTGGTGAGCTTCATGGCACCTATTGACCACTGTACGATGAATGATGATGCCAGGTGAGTAATAGATTAATTATGTTTCTCAAATGGCTTCATGACAGCATGATATTGACCTGTTCTTCAGTCTGTCGCCCTCTCCATTTCTTCTTATCAGTTAACCATTTGTCACTGGCATCATAGCCTGGGTGTCTTGGTCACATCTGTCCAGGCAGTCTGCCTGAGCTTTCACGCTGTAATTACTGTGACACCAAACAAGAAATTTTCATAAATCTCACTACCTACATTTTTACTCCTGCTTTAAAATTACGTGGATTTTGAAATCCTTTAGTTTTGTGGAATTATTCTAGAAATTGTCAACTAAGTCATCTAACGTCTACTGATATAATTGAGAATTACAAAGAATTTGTCTTTTGACAGAAGTGGCAACTATTTTAAATTCTGTTCAGTGTGCATTTCTTAGTTCAGGTAACAGCTGGGATAGTTCTGTCAGGATTCAGGCAAGTCCTAAATGTTGCTTGTGTTTATGGCTATTCAAAGAGTGAAGTGCTTTATTAGAAGAGTGTACTGTTTTAATTTGCTGATTACTTAAGAGGGTACAAGTTGAGTTTTGTACATAGCTGCTAGACAGTTGTTCTATGTATATATGCATAGTTCTTATGTGTAATTATGATTTTTTTAACTAAGTCTTGAGGTGGGCTTCTTGTGGGAGGGACCTGGTGTAATCTTTACAATGAATGGATGTAGGAGGCTCGAGCAATGCCTTTCCCCTGGGTTGTGGAACACGTCTGTGCTTTGTGAGAGTAAAATGCCATTTGTCACTTTGGGAAATGGAAACCGAATACCTGCTGCTCTTAGACTGTTGCCTTGTGGGATGTTTCACAGACTTCTGGATGAGAACTGTTCGGAATGCTGGCACTGAGGCATTTTCTGTGCATAGTTAGACCTGTGCTGTTTTGTCCTAAAGAGGTTAGGATGTTTGTCTTTAATTGCATACAGTTCCTGCACGTCGGGCAGGCATGCAGAGTGCTGCCCTGTCTCCGCAGTGAGGGAAAGCTCAGCTTGTGTGATGTGTGTGACAGGGGGAGGTGGGAAAAAAAAAATGATACTGATCCTAATAATCCAAGGATTATCACAGTGTGTTTGCTGTCCCCAGAGGTGACATTGCTTCCTCCTTCACAGTCCACTGCACTCACTTGTGTTCCAAAAGTTGTGCAGAAAACGCATGCTGCAAGCCAGAATTCCCCAAGTGCATGCAAATGGAAGTGCACCAAACAGCTGGACTGTCATTTGGCTCACTGGGCTTCTTGGGCCTCACTACGCATCATCTGGCTGCCATCTTCAGAACCCTGCCCCCCTTACCCCTCAGCAGGCACCTGCAGCCCGCCTGGGAGTCCTGCTGACCCTCAGCTATTAGAGCTGCTGGGGTGCTGGCTGTGTGGTGCTGTGTCAACACGGTTATCGTTGTGGTAGGGACAGAGTGTTTGACAACATCTCCTGGGGGTTTTCTGCACTTTGGAGGGGTTATTACATGGCCTGCATGTTTTACAGGTACTTTGGTGGCAGCAATGTGGCAGCAGCTGCTGCTGCGTGTTGTCTGACTGCGGGAACTTATTCCTTACATTAAGTTCATTAGTCGCTTTGGAGGCTGCCACACTTCCTGTTAATGGCATTTTAGTCACTTGTCTCGTGGAGCTGCTTTAGCCGTCTAGAACAGAGCTGTCAATTGACGTGTTTGCACACCAGCAAGTGGGCCTGAGGGCTGTGTTGTGTGTGCAGCTGTGTCTCATTCTGCCAGGATTCGGCTTTCAAGCAAACCCTGGGTAGCACAGGGCAGCACAGGCATCAGGCTGGGCGGTTCTGCTCTCAGGTCTGCTCTCAGTTGTGCTCATAGCCTCGTGGGTCGCCTTGGATGGTTGGCTCAGTGTGCTTCTGTGGCTGTGAACTGGGGATGCCTGGAGGTCTGCAGTGTAAAAAACAATGGTTTGGTAAGAGTATTAGTGTCACTTCCTCTTTAGTAAGCACAGCAAAGCTTTTGTTTCAGATGAGACAGAGCACCACACCTCTCTAACAGCACACGGCCACATTGGACAAGAAGAATTCCATGTGTGCTTTGAACTGCAGGTGAATTAATAAGGAGCCAAGCCTGTACACATGAGAGGGAAGCAGTAATGATAACACCTTTCTTCTGTGGCAGGAGAAGGTAATTTTATTGTTTCCACATGTGAATTACTGTATGGAAAATGCAGTGTCTGCCTGCCAGTGATGTGATTGTGCTCTGAGCTGTTTTTTTCTTGCTCTGGCACTTAAAAGACATGACCCCAAAGTAAACACGCATCAGAACAACAGAGTGCTCTGTGAGAAGTGTAAAAGCATCAGTGAGCTGTGCATAAAGAAGAGTAGCAATAGAGCTGGCTGAACATTCCTCCTTAAGTTCTACCAGTGGCCACGGTGTCAGGTGGATACCTGGAAAGTGCCAGTAAATAAATACGGATGTGCAGGTGTGGATGGGCAGAGTGGTGTTCAGACTCTGGTTCTCCTGGGGCTGTGCCAAGCCCTCACACCCCGGGTGCAGCCCCTTCACCAGTGGAGCAAAAGCAGAAGGGAGTTGTCTGTGACTCTGCAGCACTGTATTGCCCAGTCACTTGGTGTATATTTACATGGTTATCTCAACCTAGGGATAAATCTGAGGCCTGGTTCTCCTGTACATTTCAGCCATCTTACACTACTCTGGCTGTGCAAAGAAGCTTCTTGGCACAACTTAAAATTATGCCAGGTGATGCTGGGGCTCACCTGAAGGCTGCTGTGTGCTGTTGGTGTGGCTGTGGGCAGCCAGGGCTCTTGGGGGTCTGGCATATCAAGTTTAACACTAGCTGAGGAAACAAAGAGCAAATTATGTGAGGAGAAACAAGCTGGGCACTGCATGGGGAAGGGGATGGATGGTCACTCCAGAATTGTTTTATAGCCTGAATTTGAAAAAAGAAACATACAAGTATAATGCTGCCTTTGTCAACATCACTGCCACGTTCTTTCTTATTCTTGCTGCTGGTTGGAATAATAGCATTCGTGCGGGCAATTAATCTTCCACTTGCCAGTTTTTCATGCACCCTACGCATGGGCATGGCTGTTTAACCTTGTGCTCACATATATTATGTTGTAATGTGTGGGACACTGGTGGCCTCGAGCTCTCCTCTGTTTTAACCCCTCTCTGGTAGTATTTTAAAACATACACTGGAAAGTGATTTTTATGGTTATCTTGGGGTATATGTTTATAGACTTAAATACATTTATAGTACTCTTGGGCCAAGGTTCTCCTAATCGGGCCAAGGTCATTGCTATGTAAATGGGCCTGTCCTGTGACAAGGAAGCTGAAGGCAAAAGCTTGAATGTGAGTGCCTTGCAGTGGTGGATTGGAGGAGAGTAGTGGGCTCAGGCAGGAACTATCCAGGAATAGGTTGGGGTTGATCTCTGTCAGCTTGTGATTCTCCTGAGCTTGAGAATGGCATCATATGGGGATCACCTCCTGGGCTTCCCTTGAAATGTGCTTTTCCTGTCTTCTCAAGCTGGGGTTCATCCTTTGACACCAGCAGGTACAACAGAGCTGGCGAGCTGCTCATCTTCTCTATTTTATACCCTGGGAAAAGAGGCACAGGAAATGACAGACTGAGCCTCGAGGTTTTTAGTGAAGGTGTGCAGGTCCAGAGCCAAGCGAGTGCATTTTCATATCTGCAGGAGTGGATCCTCCAACCAGTCTAGCTGTGGTGAGGTCAGGTAAGGTCTGTGCTCCTGGGAGGATGTGAGTGGATTCTGGTGGTGTTACATCTCTTGTCAGCTTTGATATATAGACCTTCAGATCCCTGCGCTGCACGTGTGTGTATGCAACAGAGACTGAACGTGGACATTTTGGAAGGAGGTCCGGCATCAAATTACTGCTCTGTTTGAGGAACATCCTCATCATTTCTCCTCTGGAGGATGGAGAACTTGTGGAAGAGACGTTCTTTAAGGACACAGATGTTTGGTCCGCACGCCTTTATCTCCCGAGACGACTCAGGTTATTCTGACAGGTAAAACAAGATTGTGCAAATATGCAACAGTGATCTAATCAGCTGGAACAACAGCAATATTTTAACTGGCGCTACCTTTTAACAGCATCATTAAGGGCTCTCATTACTCTTTTATTAGAGGCTCACTCTATTTCTTATCAGATTACAGAATGAACATAACTCATGGCACTGATTTGATCTCTTGTTAAAGAGGATTACAGCTTTGCATTAACTTGGATTGACACGGTTTATAATTTGCTGTTGATACACATGCTGGTGGTGTCACATGTTTGACCCCCCTCCCCACAGCACCGCTGAGGAAAAGGACACCCATACATCATCATTAAAGATGGCACCAGTGCAGGAACGGGAGGCGAGGGGAGGCCTTCCTGCAGTAGAGGCAGGCAGGACAAAAGAGATGCATTCTCAGTGCTGGCTGAAGGTGCGGGGTGAAGGGCAGCTTTGGGATGGGTCCTTTCTCACCTAAGTTAGCCCACGGGTTGCTGCTTTTGTGCAGAACTGGTTGTACACCAGGACACCTGTTTGCCTGGCAGAAGTTCTGTGGTCATCGTGTCCTTGCTTGTAGGAGCTGTGGGCCGTGGGGGCTTCAGGTTCTGGCTGTGTGCCCCTGCTTGGTACGAGGGCAGCCAGCCTGCTCTGCTTTTGGCTGCTTTAGTGCAAGCAGTCTGTGCCTGCTGAGGAGCAGAGTGAAGGCACAGCTTATCCCACTGCCAGTGAGCTGTGGATTAGAGTTTTTCTCTTGGATTCAGCCAGGATGTTGTGTGCATTCCCAGGCAGCTTTCTCACTTTTGGACTTAGTGCTGTTGCTCTGTCGCAGTGTGTCTTACAGCAAGCAGAAGGGGGTGCGTTGTAGGAAATCCTGGTATTAAAAGATTAGTTTACTTATGTGACATAAGATTTGAACGTAAGAAAAGTATAATAAAAAAAAGTTGGTGAGATATCAGCCTGTAACGTAGCTCACTTTGTGCTGTGGGTATTAAAACACCATGAGACGAGATTAATGGGGGAATTTGGGTGCTGAGATTGTCAATCCTGCACCGTTCATCACGACAAAAGTCCCTGCCAGCAAGCAAAGCACTTCTTCCTGGAACAACTGCAGCTCCTATGCTATGTGGCACAAACACTGGCAGCTGCCAATGAGAAGAATCCTTCCAAGTTTGTATAGGCACAGCCTGACAGAACATCAGTCCAGCTTTGCACCTGCTTTGTTCTGTGACACAAAGGGAGGAGCGCTGGCATCGAGGGCGCTCTCTACAGCGTGATGTTTTGGGTATCATTGGTTTGGTGGGTTTTTACCCCATAACCTTTGGCTCATCCTTAGAAGTCGACTCATGTCGATGCTGTTATGTGCCCCAGATGGCCTTAGGCTGCAGTGCTTGGAAGGGCTGCTGTTTGAGGAAGGAGTCGTTGTATGTTTTGAGGCTGGCAGCAGGGAGGTGGTATCCGTGACCCCAGCTTGTGCCAACGGGCTGAAATCATCATATCCCAGTGTCTGATGTTTGACATCCCTGGTAAGAAGACAGACGCCTCTGTTATGGAAATTTCCTGTTTAAAGGGAAAAAAAATAACCTGTTAAGAGCTGCAGGATGATTTGTCGTCCTTCCTTTGTGAGACAATTTGTCTTCTCCTGCATCAAATCTGTTATAAAACAGTCAAGCTGTGAAAGAGGGAAATCATCCTAGGAATATGGGATGTTAAGGTACACAAAGAATGGTCCCTCCGTGTGGGGTACGCTCAGCGTTACGGTGCCTGCTCTGCTCAAATGCCCATCTTAAACAGGGACTGAGAAGGCAACATTTTATGAATTTCATGGGGAAATTAAAGCTGCTAGGAGACGTGGCAGCAGAGCGTGCTGGAGCTTTCTGAACCTTTCCGTCTTTTGCTGCTTCTCCTGCCACTTCTGCATCTTTTATATGTCATGTTGTAAAAGCTCACATGAAACTGTGAGTGCTGCTGGGGCTGAAATCAGGATGAGAAAGCTTCCTCTGCTGCAGTTGCTGATTCTGTCACATGTGAGGCTGGTGAGGAGTCAAGTGGCCGTGTGCTGGCTTCAAGGGAGGGTGGTCAGCACTGGTGATGGGGGACCAACGTGAAGCCTGGGAGGTTCCACGAGAAGAGCCTGGCTGTCCAGCTGTCATTTCCCACTGCCCGGCCTCGCAGAGTGTGCAGAGTCCCTTTGTTTAGGGCAGGAACCGGTTTCCTGAAATATTATAAATCTCGTGCCTGGTCTCATGAGACAAACCAGAGGTCACATGTCACCACTCATAATTTAAAGCCGTGGGGCTAAAAGCATTTGCACGGACTTGAAGGACCCAATCCTGACCTGCCTGAACGAGAGGGAATAGCAGCAGACCTTTCTGAATCTCCTTCAAGCGCTGGGCACGGCGATGAGAGCCGTCTGCTGTGTAATTTATAGCTGGAGTTGTGTGCTCTGGTGTTGGGTGCTGGGAAGTGAGAGAGAGAGAGAGAGAGAGAGAGAGAGAGAGAGAGACAGAGTGCCATCTCGTGGGGCTGCCATCACCTTGTGGGGCTGCCATTGCCTTGCAGGTCTGCCATTGGTGTGGGATGGTCATCGTGTCATAGGGCTGCCATCAGTGTGGGGCTGCCATTGTCATGGGATGGTCATTGTGTCCTGGGGCTGCCATCAGCGTGGGACATTTGGCACATCATGGAGCTGCCAATGACACGGAGCTGCCATCAACACAGAGCAGTTGTCGTGTTGTGGAGCTGCCATCAACGTGGGCCTGCTGTCATCTTGTGGAGCTGCCATCAACCTGGCTGCGCCATCATCTCGTGGGCTTGCTGTCATCTCCCAGGCCAACCATCCCACTGCCCTGCAGCCCCACAGCACTGCAAGCACACAGCTGTGCTTTGCACCGTGTTTTTGGGACCCCTGGCTTTCAAAGACCCCCGGTATTTGAGTTCTGCTCTGATGATGGCTGCCGCTCGTTTTGCTCCCCATCATCCTAGAATTGTTGCTGCAGAAGTGTCAGAGTGGGAAATGCACATTAGCTGTGTGAAAGCAGAGCCAAATCCCATATGCTGTGTGCTGATTCTGAGTAACACTTTGGGCCAGCAATGGAGAAGGAAAGCACTCCAGCTTATTTTACCTTCCTGGGTTCCTGCTGTGCGTGCTCGGTACCCAGTAATCTGAATTTCCTGGTGGACAAAAGATTTCTTAGGATACAGATGGAAAACTTCCCAAGCAAATGACAGGCAGCCTTCTGCGTTCATCAGGTGTGTGCTTTTCATCCTCCATTTCTTCAGGGGTGTTCACGCTGTATCTTCCACTGGTTTTTGTGAATTAAAAATGCATCGTTCCCAGTGGAGGATGTCAGCAATGGGGTAGTTGTAGTTATTTCAGTACTGCTTGGGGCATCTTCTAAATTATCTTTTTTTTTTTTCATCCTGGAAGAGGAGAAGAAGGAAAAGGTACATGGGAAAAGACACAGCCATGTGTTGGAGGGTATTTTTATAGAAGCAGCACAGCAGTGACTCATGTGGCAGTGCTGTATTAATAGCACTCGGAAAAGAAAGAAAAAAAAACCACACCAGAAATGGAATTCTCCCCCTTAATTTTGTTGTACCAGCGTGCAGAAGTGTACTTTTTTAGGAAAAGGAAATGGCATGAATGTAATTATACAAAGTAGTCTGAGGTTGGCCGTTCGGTGCTGCGCGTGGGGATGCCTTTGTTTTCCCTTTGTGTCTGATGGAAGAGGGGCCGAGCAGTGGAGCTGGGGAGAAATGCCCAAATAATGAAGGTGCTGTGCTCACACACATGTTTTATGGCACGTGGCTGTGTGGTTCGTGATCATTTGTTTCCAGAAACGGGTTTTATGATAATACAGTAAAAATATTAAATTAGAAAATGCCTCACTAAGGGTGATAAAACCTTACTACAGTGGAAATAGGTAATTATCCCCTCTACAGCCTAAATGACAGTTTAAAAGAAATAAAAATGTTAGTGCTCATTACTTGCTTTTGTAGGTTGCAATAAAGGGTAAGTTAAATTTTAATTCAAGGAAGACCCCTGTATCGACCTGCTTCCTCCGCACTCCACCTGAGCTGTAAGTGCTGTTAATTACTCAGCATAGGTTATTCCTCAGCACATCGTTAGCATCGCTGCCCCTTTGTGCTAAAGTCACCTTCCCTTGTCCGAAGGCAGCAGCCTTGTGCTGGGCTGGGTTGTCTCAACTCAGTGGCTCAAGTCTGATGGTTAATAGATTTGGGTGGAGGAGAGAAATTTGATGTTTTTTAGCCAAAATCCGGGTTCATTACGCTTAGCCTTAAGGGGGCTGAAAGTATTAAAATCCACACTTACCCTGGTGAATTGAAACAGAGACAAGGTTAAACCTGGAGGATTGATGAGTTTTGCTCTCTGCATGGTTAAATCCTGCTGAGGGGAGATGCTGTGAAAGAAGGGCAGCCTGGATGGTGGGAGGAGGGGGGAAAGGAAGAAGGTTGTGTTATTATGGGTTTTTTTAGCAGGGTAAAACATTCTTTCTGTTTCAGATTGGAGGGGTCCTCTGGTTTTGCATCCCTGCTGGGGTGTCTGCCCGTGCTGTGTGGTTTCCTGGACTGTTCCACTTCGGGTTTAGCACTGTGCTGGGAGGAGAGGAGCAGTGCAGTGTGTGCCTGAGTGGTGCTGCGAGCAGCAGGGCTGGATGCTGCCTCCTGGGCACCAGCTGTGTCTAAAGAGTAGGGAACGTGTGGAGGCTGTGCTGTCTCTGAGCAAAGCCTGGAGGGAGGGAGTCAGTGTGTGTGAGCTGTGTTGTTTGATAGCCGAGCTTCTCCAGAAGAGTAATAGTCACTGCTGGACCTCAGGGGCTGTCTGGGTGCTGCTTGCAGCACTGACCCCTGCTGTCTTGCTCTCTGTAGCTCATCACAGCTTTCCAAGCACCCATTCTGCTTTCTAGAGGTGCACTCTTGCTTTAAGGCAGAAACTCCTTCAGGCCCAGGCTGAGCTCTGCACAAGAGCTGTTTCCCCATGCGTTCATTTGCAGAAGGTAGAGCAGCCATCTGATTAATCACTTTCTGCACTGAAATTAAGAGACGTGACCCAGGGAGTTAGGAAGGGCCCTGTCCTTGTGGTCTGCCTTTGTGCCATCACTGAGCTTCGTCCTTTGAAGCCACTGGTTTGTTCTGGAGCAGCGAGGAGCTCTCCTTGCTCATCCCACAGCTGAATACAACCAGCTTATTTCTTCTAAAGGGAAACTTGCTCCTGTGATCTCAACTGCTGCACACACGATATTAATTGGAATCTTGTTGCTGGGCCGTGTTCATTGCTTTTCAAGTACCATCAAGTCCAAGAAAATGTATGGCAACTAAACTGTAGCTGTCTGATTGAATCCTCCTTATGGCTCTGCAGTCTCAAACATCCCATTAAAATACTCCATCGTGTTTCCTTACTTGAAGGCCCCATCTGTAAAGGGCAAACTTACAGAAAACCTACAACTGGTCTCGTGCGAGTCCTGCCCTTTGCTTGTGTTTATTAATGAAGATCGTTGAATGCATTTTTAATTATAGACAGGCTTTCATTCCAGGGAATAACATCTCCCTCCTGCCTCCTCTCCCCAGGACGGAGCTTTATCGTTCGCTCTTTGGAAGAATGATGCGGCCTGAAGACCCTGAACGTGGTTAGGATCCGGGACCGCCCGCACTGCAGGTTCTGCCCCATACTCGTTTTAGCTTCCTGGCCTGCTCAGCACAGGCCAACCATCGTGCCAGAGAGGGATGTGCTGTCACTGTACTCCTATTAAACCCTCCAGATTTTTATTTTGGAGATTGGTGGGATTTTTATTTTATTCTCTTCTTATTTTTTTGAGGCGTGCCATTCTGTTCGTTGGCTGCGGGTCTGGATGGGGCGACTTGATTTCCACTGAGTCAAGAGGATTTAAATGTCATTTACATAATTAACGTGGCCTTAAAATGGAGAAAAGGTGCAGTGCCTTCCAGCAGCCCCAGCTCCCAGGTCACATTCCAGTTTCAGATCAGCCTCTGTGCAGCCATGGACATCACCCAGCTCGTGGTAGGCACGGTGTGGGCACACATCTGGGGCTACTTCTGCAATTAGAACACATTGGTGAATTTTTCAGTCCAGCATTGATTGTGTACACTTAATTATTTCCGCTGATTGTGACTGTGAGCCCTCTTGTCTTCGCTGTCACCATGCTTCTGAAAGATGGCAGCGCTAATGCAGAGCTGCCAGAAGGCATCACACGGGGTTTGTGGGGTTTCTGTAGCCAAAGGCCACAGTTTGGAAATGAAACCCCCATAAAGGGAATCTATTAGCCTGCTGCGATCAATCTGAAACCGAGGTTATCTCGCGTAAATAATACGGCATATATGTGTGTAATGAGAATGGCCATTGCTTGTGACCACAGGAACTGCGCGGTCTTTGTTTTGTGGGATTTAATTAAAACACTTTGTAAACGGATTGTCCAAGTTTGATCGGTGCAGAAATGGCACCAGCAGCTCTGGCCTCTCTTGGGCCCATCAACAGACAGTTCTTAACCAGAGGCTGTGGTGTCACTTTGCACAGAGCTGCCTGAGCACCAGCAGAGTGTGCACAGAGCAGCTGCAGCTTTGCAGCAGAGCCTTGGCTGGTGCCTGTCATGATGGTGGTGTGGGACACAGCTGTGCAGAGCAGTCACAGGACCTGGGCTGTACAGCAGGAGGTCATTCCCTGCACTCTTCAGATTTGGAGTAAGTTTGTAGCTTCACTACATCTAAATATGTGGGCTGACTGTAGGTGTGAGGCATAACCAGATTACAACTAGTTACAAGCATGCAGGTACTGCTGCAATTAAATCAGATGATTGTTTTGTCCATTTAATCTCTGGATTTCCCTTCCTCACGCAGCAGAGTTGATGTGGTTCCACAAAAGCACTGCCAGCACTGTGGGTTCCTGGGGGGCTGCGCAGCCCTGCAGGCAGGACGTGGTGCTCAGCCCTCCAGGGAACGATGGGTTTTTGTCTCAGCAATGGGATGGGTGCTGGAGCAGCACTGCTGTTCACAGGGCCTGGGTGAGAGCTGCTGCACAGCCTGATGGCTCAGCACAGGGCAGCAGCAGTGAGACTCTGTAGCTCCGTCGTGTCCCCAGAGCTGTCTGCAGATCTGGTATTAATTAATCCTTTTTGCGCCTCTTCATTACAGCTTTACGTCTCCTTTCTAGTTACCTGCTTCCAGTAAATAGCTTCCTGGCACGTCACGCCGTGTATCGAGCAGTCTGCCACAGCACAGGAGAACGTGCTGAGCTGCAGAGAGCCGGGGGTGTGTGAGGCACCTGGGCTGGAAGGTGGACAGGAGGATGTGGGTGCTGCTCTGCCTCGTCCCACTGCCGGCAGCTTGCGAGCAGTCCTACCAGGTACAGAGAACCTCCTCTGGGAGTGGAGGACTTAATTTACTCAAGGTTCTGTGACGTTTGTGGTGTTGTTTTTTTAAGGTGGGAAAGGAAAACTGTAATTGTCTGGTTAAGCCCAGCTCAGGTGTGCTGCTGCTCCTTTAGGTAGTGTGCCTGGGAGCTGTGCTTCAGGGAACTGTGGGCCTGTGTCTCATGCTGGCTGCACTCTGTGGGGCTGCATCTCAGCTGCTTGTCAGTGGGCAGAGCAGGGCCTTCTCTGTCTCACAGCTCTCTGGTCAGGCTCTGCCCCTTTGTCCCCATAGGCTGCCTTCCACAGCCCTTTCCATTCTGGGGCGCTGCTGACGTGCTGCTCCTTCCCTGAGCTGCTCCTTCCCTGGGTGAGACCATTAAGCCAAGAGCCATGCCCAGCATCACACTGCTGCAGGGTCCGAGGGCCACAGCTGTGGGCCTCCCCACATCCTCTGGGTGCAAATCTGGAAGCGTCCCCGTAAGCTGCAGTGTGTTGGTTCCCAGCAATGGCAAAGCAGCACCGCTGCAGCCCCACCAATGGCACCCCCACGTGGTTCCCCTGCCTTTCGTGGTACCTGCACTTTTTTCCTGAGCGGCAGCAGAGCTGTGTGGTCGTCTAACATCATTAAAATCTCATGGTTTAATAACCGCAATTCTGAAAGGCATCAAGGGGAGTAAATTAGCTGCTTCCAAACTTTGTGTTGGTGGAATGGTTTCACGCTGCTGGCGCTGTCAGGGCAGGCATTACGGATGGCTGGCAGGGAGCACCGTGCCCCTGCCCTGTTGGGGTTTGCTGTGCTGGCAGGAGGGCAGGCTGCTCTGCAGGGCTGCTGCTCTGACTCCTGTGTCCTTTAACGTGGCAGCACCAAGATTCTGGGTATTATTTTTTTTACATTTTGAGAGCTGGATGTAGCGTTAAAAGGGTAATGTGGAACACTTTAAATGTGATAACTTCTCGTTCGTATTGTTTGAAGAGATAAGAACCAAAGCCCTGCTAAGCATGCTTTTGAATTCACTTATCAGTGTTTAAGCAGGCTTCTCTGCCCGCTGCCCCCACCACCTGCACGGCCCTGCAGCTCCAGCCTGCTGCCCTTCATGGGGAGGTCAGCACTCCTTCCTGGCACAGGCAGCTGTGCTGCCCGAGTCCCCATGCCCTGGTGGCAGTGGTCACCGTGCAGCCAGGTGTGGGCAGCAGCTGTGTGCACGGGTCAGGGAGGGCGCAGGGATCTGGTATGATTGCCACTAAGTTTTCCTAATGATGCCAATTAACGGCCAGTGAGATTTATTTTATTTTCCCAGTGGAATATCCATTCTTTATTCATTCATGATACAGCTGCTAATGAGTGCCTGCACACCCAGCCCAGTACCTCTGTGCAGCATCGCACAGCAGCCAGGTGTGCTGTGTGCTGGGAACGGGCTGTGAGTGGTGGGGTGGCGCAGAGGGCTTCTCTTAATCCTCTCCCCCTCCCCAGCCCCACAATAGCAAAGAATTTCAACTTTCAGACAAACAACTTCATTTACAAGTGTGTCTCTAATTAGCTGCAGAATTAGTAAAGCAGAGTTTTCCCCCCATAGATCGGCCAAACCCCTGAGGGAGGCTGTGGAATAGAGAGAATCGCATTTCCAATTATTTTGTTGAATTGCTAATTTAGTTATTGTGCCTGGCGTAATTGTGATGGGTATTGGGTGTGCAATTCAATTTGTTTTAAATATTTGTGGGAAGGCTGATCAGTAATGGAGCTGACCTATTTCATGGCCCAAATTGAGAGAAGAGACTAAAACAAAAAACAGCTACAAAGCCACAGTTTGTCTCAGTTTTTATTTTGATGTCTCTCATCCCTCTTAAGACTGTTGATGCAACAAAAGGTTTACATTAAAAGATGATGGCACTTTGATCTCGGGCTTTTGAGAGCTTACAGCTTTGGTACTTCTTTTCTTGGCATTTTAATATGTAGATATTTTAGGCTAAAGAGTTTTAAATGCATTTCTGGAGTTCAATAGCCCCCTCTGTCCCCCCCCAGTTGTATTATGTTTGTTAAGGTGATTTGTGCTTTTACCCATCACGATTCTGGTTTGAGAAATGCACAAAATAATGGTGGGGGTTTTCCTGGCTCACGTTGTCCAGTTTAACACATCACACCTTCATGTTAACCTTTAACAGGGGGAACCTGGAAGCAGTGGTGGTAGGAGGTGAGCAGGGAGGGCGTACAGCAGAGCTACTTGCAGGTAGCAAGTAGGGCTACACAATATGAACACAGGGCTGCTGTGCCACCTCCCTGGGGGGCAGCAGGGTTAATAGGGGGCTGTGCCAGCACCTGCAGAGCTGCAGTCACTCAGTGTTGAAGAAGAAATCTGGGGATGGGGGCACCTGAGTGAGGCTCAGTGGGTGCAGCTGTGGTGCTCAGAACGGGGGGTGACAGACTTACACTCCTGGCAACAGAAAGAGATGTAATTCGTTCTTTTTATTAAAAGAAACTGAGGTAAGTGAAATACTTCAGCACCAGCAAGAACTGCGCGTACTGAGGGGGGCTCCCGCAGTGCCAGACCCCCCACCCCGACCCACACACACACGGACAGGGCAGGGCACTGCCAGCACTGTGCTGGGCTCCAGCATTCACCAACAGCTGCTTTACCCCCAAATTAAGTGGTACCTGAGCCCCTAACACTGAGCTGGAGGGGGCTGCTCTCACCCAGCAGGCAGAGGAGTTTGGCAGCTGCAGCTCCCCCCAGGCACAAGGCGTAGTGTGGTGGGCACCAGGACCTCTCCCATTAACACCTGCAGAAAGGGTGGTAACAGACCCATGTGTGACACCACTGTGTAGGAATTCCTGGTGAGGTGCCCTGAGCAGTCCTGCCTGGCTGAGACATTCTCTGTCTGTCCTTGTGTCCGGCTGCAGCCTGGATTGGCATAAGTAAAAGCATCTCTGGGGATTGTTTGGAAGGAGTGAAGGGCAAAGAAGAGTCTTTTAAGTTAAAGTTAGGGTGCTGAACTATTAGGATGAGGTTTGTCTTTTAGGTGGCAGCTCCTGGTCCTCCCAGACAGCAGAGAGTAACCCCAGCACTGCACCTCAATCTTACAGCACTCCGGCTGCTGTGCACAGAAGGGGGTGAGCAGCAGTTCAGAGGGAAAGAGCACAGGTATGAGGCACTGGCTTTGTAATTAATTCTCTCATAAAAACATCCCTTCTGGTTCACCCTATGCTAAAAGAGGAAGTGTAAAATCTGGAATACTTTTAAGACAATCATTGGTGTAAGCCCCAGTTTTACCTTTCGCAGAGTTCCTGCTCCTCTGCTCTTGCAGTGCTCAGCTGAGGCCCTGGACTGGCTCAGCTCCCTGCAGACAGCTTGCAGCCCCTGCCCAGAGTGACTGGAGAGGTCACTGCAACAGGTGGAGCTGCCCCTGGGTGTTAAACAATGTGATTACCAAATTACCCCTCCCCCCCCTTTTTTTCTTTTTAATTTGTCTTCTTGTGTGAACAAGGCAGTTCTTGTGCTCTCCAGCAGCTCTGGGGTAGAGGCTGGTGCAGAAGAAGAGCTCAGGTGTGCTGAACTAAATTTGCCCCTTGCAGTTCTAACCACATCTGTGTATTTGACTCATCCTTTCCCTCTCTTGCCTTGGCAGGTTGTAGCTGCTTTCTGCTTCAAGTCACCTATCCACATGGAAAGCATTAATTAGCACTTCTTAAGTACATGCAACAGTGGGTCTGCCCCATGACTGTTACCCCTCAAAATAAGTAGGGGAGGAGAAGCAGAAATGGCCGAACAGCCACATTTTTATTCCTCCTTTACCTCCTCCTTGAAGGGCTTTTCACACCATGATTTGCCTTTCTGATGGAGCTGTGCACACAGGCAGAGTACACAGGGCTCCAGCCCCCCTCTGCCATGCCCCCATTCTGGAGCCCTCCTGGCAGTGGACACAGCACTACCTGCCCCACTCCATGTTCTGTTGTAACACAGATGTTTGAAATAAAGCCCGCAGGGGCTGACAGAGACACGAGTGCTGACAGCAGTGCCAGTGCTCAGCAGTACAACACACAGAAAAGTCTTCACCGACCGCAGGGACCAAGGAGCTCCCACCACTCCCAGAGGCAGAGCCCATCCTCAGCCCTCAGCAAACGCTCCTGCAGGTGAAACTGGCACCTGCCAGCACTGCAGGATGTGTGTGAGAAGCAGACAGGGGCAGAGGGTGGGAGCCCCACCACTTTGCTATGCCCAGAGCTCATGGTACTGCTGTACCCGTCATTGCCCGGCCGTGGTGCTTTTGGTGGCAGCTGAGCAGCAAACTGCTGCGTTGGTCCAGTCCCACTTTGTTAAATAAATACAGTACAGTTAGACAGCTGTAACTCAATCCCGCAGGCGCTTGTGTTTATACATCTTCCTCGTGTCTCTGGCCAAAGGACACACTTCCTCTGGTCAGTCTGATTTGAAAAAATAAAAATGTCACTCTTCCAGCATTTCCCTGAGCCTCCCCGTCTCGGTACAGTGGTTGCAGTTGAGCAGACAAAGGGCAATTCTGAGCCTTTTTTTTTCTTTTTTTTTTTTTTTCCCCTCCACTGTACCGAGCAGGGGGGAGTACAGGAAATCGATGCTCTTACGTTGAAGAAGGCGAGTCCATTGTGGAGAGGATCCGCACGATCTCCGCTCGCTGGGTGGGTGATATATGCTGGGTCATGTGCACGATCGAATCCATGGCAACCTCTGGATTGGCCTGGACCAGGCTGCAAAGAGGAGAGAGTTCAGTGCTGGCAGCTCCGGCCCTCATCTGACAGCTCTGTCAGGGAGTGCTGACAGATGGGCTCCTCAGAGAGCAGGAGGCAGCGGGCGCTCCTGGTAACTGACTGCGGCATGGGCACAGCTCCCTGCTGGGCACCACAGAGCCCCCATCACTGCAGCACAGGCACAGGAATGGACAGAAATACCTGGAGATGCCATGCTGAAGTGGGTGACATTGCTGTGTGTGTCAGTGCCCTCCCTAACACACAGAAGTTAGCTAAGTTAAGTTAGATCTCTTCAAATCTGAGGCAGTGCTCGTGGAGCTGCAAGGATGAGTGTCTGTGCAAATGTGATGGTAGCAGGGTGTTGGAGGGGTGTGTTTGCTATAGTTCTATGCTAGAACCAAAAGGGATTCAACATTTTATGGCACTGAGCACAGAAGCTTGCCTGCAAAGACTACAGCTGGAAAAAATCAATGGGTGGAACCCATACAGGTGCTCACCTGCGGATCTGCTTCAGGATGTAGTCCCTGGAGATGTACTTGATGTTCTCATCCACAACCGAGCGAACCCCTTCCTCCTCCATCAGCTGCTTCTCCAGCCACTCCACCAGGTCCTTATTGCTGTCCCACAGGTATGCCTGCCGACAGAGCACACTGTCACCCACTGTCCCTTTGCTCAGCCCTGGTCGCCATCACTGCTTGCACCCACTCCCCACGCACCGCTCTGGAAATTTAATTCAACTTGAGAAGTTCAGGGCTCAGATGCTGACCTCTGGGCAGGGCAGCTTCTGCATGGCATCCCAGGCCCAGCACAGCTGCACAGCCCTCCAGGAGGGGGTCCTGCCAACAAAACCCCATTTTCTTCTGCAAGATCATTTCACCTGATATTTGCGAGGTAGTTGACTACATAATAATTCAGGAGTGTGTTAGGTGCCTAATAGCCTTCTCGCTCCTCTCTTCTCCTCTCATTTTCTTTACAAATCATTTAAGAATCGTTTTGTTAATGGTTTCCGGAAAAGCAAGTACCACCATTAGCACTCATTCATATTTATGTCATTTTATTTGGGTAATTAAACACAAAGCTCGTCATTTAAAGGTGCACTATCCTTCTCTGTTATCACTAACAAAGTCAAAGTCAGAATGACAATGAGCTCTGCAGTCAGGGGGTGGCTCGGGGCACAGGAGGACCCAGCACTGCACAAACCACCACGTTGGTTTTGGTTTTATCCTTAAAAATTACATGTGCAGCTCTCTTAACCTCGTGATGTCACTTCAACCCAAAGATTCTGCTTATTTCATTGTTTTTTTTCTTAATATTATTTTAAACTCGTTAGTTTTTCCTCCTTGCTGCTGCCCCCAGACATGGCAGGAACACTCCCTGCATACCAAGTAGGGCACTTTGGAAGATTTCAGGAAGGAAAGAAAAGCCCAAGCAGCCGCCTTACGGTTGCAGACCTGCATAAAGCTAGATTTACCCAAGAATCCCAAAGCTGTTACTTTAGGAGAATATTTAATACTCTTATTAATCATTTTTAATCCGTTTGCTTTTAATTAAGAAACAGCATGATGCTTTCCTATCAACATATGCCAGGGAGCAGATTAATTGTGGCTTAAGATAACTCTCCTTGATTGGTGTAATGTATTAGCTAACGAGATGCCCGCTTTTAAAGACGCTCAGACACTACCTTGGAAAGCCTGCTGCCCTCCAGAGAGCACGTTCATCCCCCCCTGCTTTCTGGAACCCCTGAGCGTTTGTGACTTTAAAAATAAAATAAAGAACTCAGATCGGGGGATTGTGACAAAAACAACCTAAGAGCTGTGCTGGAGATTGCTCTTTAGAGATTGCCAGTTCAGAGTTCGAGCACAATTAAAGAAATCCTCAGCACAACCATCAGATGAGGATGCTGCTGAGGTGATTCCCTTCACCCCCAGCAGCCAAACCTAGCAGCAGGTTGTGCCCTGCCTGCTGGCACACTGCTCTGCTGGCTCTGAGCAATGCCCTGAGCAGCAGGAGGCCATGGGATGATGGCAAAGGGTGGGATGTCCATTTCCAGCTGTGCCAGACAGCTGCACCTACATGCTGCCTTCCTCCCATGGCCACCCTTCCTCACTCTGCCAACAGAGCTGCCCACCTTTTTCAGATGCTCACATTTTCATAATGCTAGTGCTGTGTAGCTACATGTTCAGGGAGAAACCTATTGAAACTGAGTGTATGTGTTTTCCTGGCCTGAAATATAGCATTCCCATGAAGTAACTCATGATCTGGAATGTTCCCAGAAGTTCTCTTTCATAACCCAAAATATTTTTGGACATTACAACTGAGAACCAAAGATGAAGTTCCACCTGGGAGAACGTCACTGAACTTACACCCATGGAAGACCACACTGGTACAGGTGTTTCCACTTACCTTTACTGTCCCTTCCACTTCCACAAACCAGCGTCGCAGCATGGCCTGGATCTGCCCATCGGTCAGCTCAGGGTTGGCATCATGGATCTTATTTTTGACCACATCTTCCAGAAGAAGACGTCTCAGCCTCCAGTAGAAGAAGGTACGAGAAGTTTTCCAGTCTAGAATGTCCTGCCCAGGACAGAGAGGGAGAAGGAGAAATGAGTGAGGGGCAGCACTTCCATGAAGACATGCCTAAGCCTTGCTCCCCATGGAAGTAAATGGCTTTCACTCATACACTCAGTTGTGCCACTCACACAAGAAACACAGAAGATGTCTCTGCTCAGCCACCCCAGCCTGGTAGCAGTTACTGCCCTGAGCCCAACCCTGGGCACTCACCGTGATGGCTCCCTTCTCCTGCATGCGGCCGGGTGTGTCGTGCAGATCAGCAAACTGCATGGCCACCTGGTGGTAAATGGGAATCAGGAATTCCTCCCGCTCCTTCAGCTTGCCCTCCAGGTCTTTTCGGTCGGCAGCGCTCAGCTCGGGGGTACCTGCAACCAGGCACAGCACAGGTCAGCCACCTCTGCCAAGTCGAGGCAGAGGTTTGTCCTGTTCCTGCACACGGGATGCCTTTGGCCAGGAGAAATGCCAGCCCATCAGCTCCAGGCAATGCCAAGCACTCCTGAATCAAACCAAAGTGCTCCAACCTGGATTTCCTGCCAACAGTGTTCAGGCAAAAGCTCCAAAGCAGAGTTTCACCATGGAAACTCTATTTCATTTAAATGCCAAATGAGTTGAGCCATCAATTGAGTGACAGACTTACTGGACTTGCTCCTAAAAAGAATGATGTTCCAGCACAGCATTCATTTCAGCCCAAAACACGGGCAGTGTGAGACCACTGAGCACCACTGCATGCTGTCCTGCAGGCAGTGACACCTCACCACGCCGCCCAGCTACCAGCAGCCAACACACAGCTCCCAGCCATGGAGCAACAAGAAGACACGGTCCTCTGACGTTCATAATTTTACACTTATTTTTGAAAGACCAAACTCCAATTAACAGTGATTAAAAACACCTTAATTTCACCCTGTGAAGGACAGGAACCAGACTGAGCCAGGAACTCTGCCTCTGACACTCATGCATGAGGTCTGTGTGCAGAGGCAATGTACTTAGAGCCAATCTCGGCTCAATTGAAGCAAAGATTGCAGTCAGAGCCAAATTACACGTTGGTCTCACCACCCAACTGCATGGGGCTGCGAGGGCGATCCTGCACAGAGGGCAGCAGAGCCACAAAACAAAGAAGTGAGAGCAGTCCGTGGGAGAGCTGGGCCAGAAGCTCCATCCTCAGCACCCCATCAGCCGAGCATCCCGACTGCGCTGCGTGCTGTGTGAGTGCTCTGGCTTTCGATCTTTATCATTAGGGAATACTGATGAGATTAACCACTGAGCTTTTCAACACGACACCTCCCATGCCCTCACACCCCATGGCTGTGTTCCTGCCCTTCCCTTCCACCTGGGGACACACAGCACTGTGCTGCCCGGTCCCATCAGCAAAGCTCCCCAGCCGAGGCGCACGTCTGAGTGCCTACCAATACAAATGCTACCTAACCTTTCCAGTGCTAGTAAGAAGCTTTTAATTAAGAGCAGCGACTCTCATAACCTTCAGAATAAAGAATGGAACGTATTTATCCACGTTCAACTCTCCCGTTCCTCCAGCCCTGTTCCAAATGGCAACGTGTGCACTTGAGCCCACGCTGCTGCTGGATCCCGGCCTCCGTGCACGCAGTGCTCCTGGAGCAGCCAGGCCCAGTAATGATTTAGGTGAGATTAACAAATATGTCAATGTCTATTTTCTGCTTAATTTAAAAGCGGCGTCTATAAAGATTTTTGACTTCTGAACCCTGTTCTCCTGAAAGAAAGAAGGTAACAATGAGGAGGGGGGATAAAGAGTGATTATCCCATCATCGATCGTTTGTCAGGAGCATTTCTTATTCACTGGACTATTGTAAAAAGCTAAGCTCTCGATCAATCCTGTAAGCCCCCCGTACAATTAAATATCTTGGAATGGTTTTCTTTCTTTCCAAGCAGATCTCGAGGCCTCAGGGCTTTTCAGAGCGCTCGGGCCTTATTTATTTATTTCTCAGGAAAAGTCTCCTTCCACAAATCTCACTTGGCAGGGAGAGCGGGCTTAAAATATGGGATTCCTTTGCTCTGAAGGTACCGGACAGTTAATGAAAGCGTTACCGTTTAAATCATAGGAACATTATAGACCTGGAGGTATGGATCAGCTGCTGATCAATGGGAACAAAGGAGCAGTGCTGTAGCAGGGGATGCAGCGGGGATGTGGGGGAAGGAGGACCTCCCTGCTAAAGTACCTTAGGGCACGCTCAGCTGGTGCTGGAAGCCCTCAAAGTGCCACAAAGTGTCTCTGCAGCAAAGCCCAACCACAGCACCACGTATTTCCCAACTCTTCATCCCACCACCTCTCTTTCTTTGACCGATCGCAGAACTGCCTCCGGCTGGCTGAGGAATCACCCTGGGGAAGCAGCACTCATGTTGGGAGACACAAAAGATCACACTCTGAGGGGAGAGGTTCGGGATCCAACGGGAAGGGGAGCCCCACAGCCACCGACCTGCGTGCAGAAGGATGGGAGCTCCGTGCTGTAAATCTGCTGGCAGAGCCCTGCGATGCTGAATCTCAATTTACGCTGCTCTCCAAAAGTTAAGGGGAGGCATCGCAGCAGAGAAAGCAACACCTAAACTATTGTGATTTGTGCCCCATTAAACAAAACCCCTCTGCGGGAGCAGCCCCCCACCTCCAATAAAGCTCCTGCCTTTGGGGAGCAGCTCCAGGCCCATGAATCACGGCCTCCCATAACATTTAGTAGCAAAGCGCTTTTCTTAAATATGACCAGTTTAACAGGTTAGACAAAATGACTTCAAGAAATGTTATTGTAGGTTCCCTCTGATTGCAGAAAGCCAGGCAGCTTCTGAATCAATTTGATGGTTTATGGTTTCTAAGCTGTTAAAACGTGGGATTTTCTCCCTCGCCCTCTGCACAGCCTCAGCGTGGCAAAGTGTTTCCTTGGCCACCTGCTCACCTCTTCCCCAGACACTCCCAGGGCACAACCACAGCTGCACAGCCACCGGCCCACCTGGGGATTTGCTGCTTCCCAGGTAGCACAGTAAGAGCCACCCGGTGACATCAGGACACATCCATTGGAACCCTGGTCTCGACCGCCCCATCCCATTTCCACACCTGCAAGAATCCCCATGAATCTCACCTTCTTTTCCTCTGCCTTTCCCCATCTGCTGCCAGACAGAGCCCAGCGCAGCCGCCGGGGACAGGAAGGTCACTGTGAGCTCACGTCCCTGCACAGCGGGCAGCTTTGGGCCATCGCTTGTTCCTTTAAATGAGACTGCTTGTAATTGCTTCACTAAATATTCAGTAGGATTTATGTCACAAAGGTGCAATATGCAATAGCAGTGAAGGTCACACGTGCCCATGACATGGGCTTGGAATAGCCTTGTGCAGCTGCACCGCGCAGTGCTCTGCCCTGCTCCTGTCCCACTCTGCTCCCAGAGCTCTGTTAGCAGCACTGCACGTGGGCCACATGGCAGCTGTGGGACTCCTGAAAGCGTATTTGGGGGAACCTGTTAGGGCCCTGCAGGGCTCAGGATGCCAACGGAAGAGCTGGCAGCAATCAGCACTTGCTCTTCTGGGCTCCTGACCGCACAGGAACGATTCAAACGCAGCTGCACTTGCAGACAGAAGCAAAGGCAAAAAGTTACAGCTGCACCAACTGTGTTTGTCCCAGACTTCTTGAGAGATGGCACCACTACAGCACCATTTTTCTTAGTCATTGCTCAAGAAAACAAGCAGCATTTTGATTAATTACAGCACAGAGCAACAACCCACCCCCAGAAAATAATTACCGGACCTCTGAGCCACAATCCACCTTTCTGAGCTGGGGCTGGGAGAGGGCCTGGCCGTGGCACAGTGTCCCTGCAGCAGGCTGGTGGCTGTCTGAGCTGCCGCTGCTTTCCAGTGCAGACAGAGCACTCCTCCCACAGAGCACAACTGCACCCGGGCACACAGCTCTACACTTCTATCAGGAGAACCACAGACATTGCCCCTTTCCCATGGCAAAGATCCGATAACGTAACACCGAGTCTCACTCTAACTGGAGCCATTCTGCCATCCCTTCACGTTCCACCCAATTTTTGCTTACGTTGCACCATCCAAGCATTGCAAGCCTGGGATCTGCATGGCAAAGTTAGTATTTGTTCCACTCCTACCTGTCCCGTTGTAACAAATAAATGAAAGCAATTGCATCGCCGTGCCGCTCCGAGCTGCGCCCACGCTCAGACTCACCGCACCTGGGGGGAAGCATCCGGGCAGGATGGGGCCGCCCTGCCTCCTCCCCTGCGCTCTGTTTGGGAACAGCACAACTCTGAGTGACACTGCAATACAACGCGGGGCTAATCAACATTTCAGGACTAGTGCCAGGGAATTGATAATGAACAGATTTATGTCAAATGATTCGATATCTGCCGGCCTCCTCTGCTCTCACACTCCCCCACTGCGGCCGGAGCGCGGTGCAGGAGATGCCTCCAAGGGGCCCGGCGCCGCTCCCCACACCGAGCACCTCCCGCTGCAGGCGGCTCGGGGAGGGATGACAGCCACTCAGGGGTTAAAGAGAGGCAGTGAACCCCCAGCTAATGAGTAAGAATTCAGCAGGCAGTGTAAGATAAATGGAGCTTTCTCTGCTTCTGCTGGAGTCAGCATGAACTGCGGCCCTGCGGCTTGTTTGTGGCAAATGGAGTGCGCGAAATATCAAAGGGCAGTGATCCAGAAGAAGACCGACTTTGACAAATTTTAAATTGGCCAGAAAGAAAACCAGCAAAAAAAAAAAAAAAAAAATTATGCAATTCAGTGTGTCCTGCAATCTTAGCTTTCCTGCTACGGTACGGAATTAGCAGCAAAACAACAGCAATGATCGCCCAGCGCTGGCAGCAATTACAGCCATCTAAGTGAGATGCTTATCAGTGACTGAAGCTTTTAGAGCTCTCCCTGTGTACAGTTGTAAGTGACTTGCTCTTGTGTTGCAGTCATTTTAATTAAAGTGTATGGAGTTTGCTGGGAGTAATTGCCCTGTACAGGAAGAGGTGGCAGAAGGGCCCACACGGCTCCTGCCTCCTCCCCCAGCCCAGCCGGGCACAGAGACCCCCAGCAGACCTGCCCCCATCCCTGTCCCCATGCCTGTGGCTCTGGGTGGCACACTGGCTGCTCCCAGCACGCCAAGAGCTCTGCTCTCCACTTCTATCATTGCATCAGGACTGGGCCGTCCCCAAGCCCCTGTGGCAGCTCTCCTGTGTGGGCTGCTGGGGACCAGGAAGGCAGCACCAGGAGTGGAGCTGGGAATTGTGGCCATTTGGGGAAATGAGCTGCAGTCCCTCATTGCAATCATTCAGCCCTGAGCTGCACGGCCACCAGGACCCTCTCCTGGGTGTCAATGACTTGGCATGGTCACACTGTCAGCCTTCCACTGGATGCCATCAGTCTAACATAGGGCCAGAATGGGTTTTGTCACAGATACAAACATTCAGATGGTTTTCCTCTCCCACAGACAGAGGCAGAACAACGCAACCATGGGACAGCTGTGTCCCCTTTCCCCACTGCAGGAATGCACAGGAGTCAGACCAGCTCAGACAAATCACCAGGCCCAGACACTGCCCACCTGCTGCACACCCAGAAACAGAGACTTTTAAACTGCCATCAGAGAGAAAAGTCTTTGATGCTATCAAAGACATCAGCAAGAAGCTGACTTTCAGCAAGCGCTCTCATTCCCAGCACTCCCAGCACCCTTTACAATTACTATTCTCCTCCCAAGGCGTATCAGAACACTTGTTTTGTATATAAATTGTTGCACTACCATAAATTAAAAAAAGCCAAATAATAAAATGTAACTGCAGCAACAGAGACGATTTATCAGTCATTTGCAGAACACTTCTCCTCCTGAAGGATCCCAGAAGGCTTTATAAATTCACACCATAGCCACGTAGCCTGCTTCCTCTGCTAAAATGTACTCAATTTTGGAGGTAAAAAGAGGCTCTGTAAGATTATACTCTTATAGTAAGAGCCAGTAAAGAACTCTTTAAGGAGTCTATTCTCCTGAGAGAGTACACATCTGATATTAAGTGCATTTTGCTGAACACTCCGTATTTTGGGCTGTCGGGCATATACCAGGTGTTGGGATTGTTTGGAATGAAAGGCACCATAATAACACAACACATACAGTGACACGCCGGCTGCTGAGCACTGCAAATCACCCCATTTACCAAGGAGGTGAGGAATACATTTTTGCTTTCTTAAAACTGAAAAGCAGACACTGTTACCTAAAACTGCCTCTGGCACACAGAAAGAGTCCAGCAGCCAAAGCATCTCCGGCCAAATTCTTAATTATGCCAAATGACACCGACTGAGGGTTTGGCCAAAAACTGCTGAGATGGAAACTGGAGCCAAGCATCTGTAGCCAGCGTCTGCTGCAAGGCCCCATCAATTAAAAAATTCAGCTCACAAAGACACCTTCTATCTAGCACCCCCTACGTACACTGTATGCACACCCTCTCAAACACCCATACACGCAGCCTGTCTCATCTGGTTTTCTTCACAAGTTAGGTGACAGTAAATAAAAATTATCATGAATTTGATGAAATGCCTGAGTGCCCCTTTTTAAGGCCCGTGCCCACCCCCATTAGCCAGCAGCAGAACGCTGCACGTACCCAGCCGCTCCGCCAGCCGCATGTAGACGGGGTCCACTCGCCTCATTGTCTTCACCAGGTCCTTCCTGCGGAACTTGATTTCCACCGTCCCCTCTGGCTCCAGGATTCCTCCTCTGATCAGTGATGGGAAAAGAGAAAAGAAAGGCACGTTCAGGTCATCAGACAAGGGGAAAGGCAAAATGGGATGGTTTGATGTTGTCTGGGGAGGGATGTAGAATGAAGCGGAGAAGGGAGGAGGGAGACAAAACAAAGAGAGAACGAATCTGAGCTGTGGTTCACCCAATGCCACGCACACGAGGATGCACAGGAGGTGCCCATCCAGCAGCACAGAGCACATCCCAGCACCAGCACTGCTCCTGGCAGCCTCTAGCAGCTGCGACCTGAAAGCTCCTCCGAAAGGTAAAGCCTTGTGACACATCAATTAACCAAGCACGTTCATTAGAGGAGGAGAAGAAGGTCAGTGCTGAGGTGGTGGAGCAGCACTGGCAATGGGAATTATTACAAATGCACTGCAGTGTGTAGGGACAGCGCTCCCAGAATCATCTTTTTGGCTAGAGGAGCTGAGGGCAGCAGAGCCCTGCTCAGCACTGCCAGCAAGCAGGCCGTGTGCCCAGAACCTGCCTGCTGCTCCAGGTACCATCCCCCAGTAGCTGTGTGCCTGTCCTCCCGGCTCACCCCATCCTGCCCACTGCAGACAGACGGGGCAGGGCTGGCTTCTTCCTCTGCGTGACTGAATATCACTATATTTTAGGGATTCTCATTTAAAGGTGTTCTTCCAAGAGACTGCCTGTTGTTCTACATGCCGTAACAAGGACTTCACTTATGCAAGTAAACAGTAGTTTATAAAATGAGCGCAATGACCCAGAAAGGTGGCAGTGCCCCATCCCTGCAGACCCCCAAGGTGAGGGGATGGGGCTCTGAGCACCACACTGGGCTGTGGGGGTCCCCATGCACTGCAGGGTTCCTTTAATGGTCCCTTCCAACTCAAACGGTTCTACAACCCCATACCCCCACCAGACAGAGCAATACCAGGGGATGCTACGGTGCACACTGACAGCTCCACGCCCGGCCCTGGCCCTGCCTGGTCACAGAGGCTCTGAGCAGCCCTACCTGCTTTCACGGTCCGCGTACATCTCCATGTGCCGGGGGTTGATGGTGGGGTCGATGACAGCCCAGGAGCCGCCCCTGAGCTCTGCCTGCGGTGGGATGTAGATGAGCACAGGCTGCCGGTACTCCCGCAGGCCGTCCACGATGTAGGCACCAAACTTCAGCACCTGGTCGTACATGTCTGCAGGAAAAGGACACAGCGTCAGGCACAGTGGGTCAACCTGGAGAGAGGAATGCAAGCAATTCTGGACACCCCTCCTCCCCCTGCCGTGCTACAGCTCCAGTGGGTGCTGCTGGCCCAGGGCAGGGTGCCCAGGAAGGAGGTGCACATCTATAGACCCTTATATGTCCTTTTAACAGCAGTGAGTACTGAGGGTTCAGACGTGGAATAGCTCTCCTCCCCTCTTCTGGCTTTACAATCTATCCAAAACATTTCGCTGAAATTCTGAAGAACTCCACTGTGTACAGGCAGAGCACGGGAAGTATCTGCCCCAAAGGTGATTTACGTAAAAGAGAAAAGAATGAAGGCAATGAGAATTTATATGAGATGATACTGTTTGTAATGGATGTAGTTTGTAATGGAAACAGGCAGCCTCGAATGCATATATTTTGTTACACATAATTATATTTGGAAGCATCGAATCAGATGTATAAGAAATGAGAAACACTTATCAGGATTATCTGGTCCGTCTCTTTGTCCACACAGGACCCCATCCTCTGCTTCTTTCCAGTGCTTCTTAAAGCCTCGATTTAGAAATCCCAAACCACCAACTCTCATTCTTTAGGGCCATTTCCACAGCATTCAGCCAAGTTCTCCTTCCTTCCCCATCTCAATTTCATTTCCCATTATTGCTTCTTACATCACCCCACACTCCATCCACACCTGCAGTCACAGTCATGAACAGACTGACCCTGACATTCACCTGAAATCCTCACATCCCTCAAGAAAGCCACTGCTGGGGAAGGACAGACTCCAGCCCAGGTCTGCACATCACAGCCCCCAGGTTAACGGGGAGCATCAGCACACAGTTATGTCCCCAACTCTTTGGGAAATACTCACACAGTGCATACATAAAGTGTAGGTATGTATGTGTCAGTACCACAGGCTCTGATGTGCTCTGCCCAGCTCACTTGCAAGGTCACAGCCCAAACACCAAGAAAAGGAATTTCCTAACATTTAAGAGATGCCAAATGCCACTGAGGAGGAGGACAATTTACTTCCACTAGTTGTGACTGCCTGTGAATCCTGGCAGAGCGGCAGGCCTGGAACCAAACAGAGCTCCAACCTTTCCATTTGTCCTGAGCAAAGAAAAAGACCTCAAAAGGGGTGACAAATTTATTACTAATTACACAATTATTTTATTATGTAGCGCTAGTAATAAACCACTTGAAGTACTTTCAGCTAATTCTAGTGTTAAGAAAATAATTGCTCGATTCAAATTATTTTAACTGAATTAATTCTTTACTAGACATTTTTTACTAGAGCTACATAATAAAATAATCGTGTAATTAGCAATCCATTTGTCACTCCTGCCAAGGGTATGTATTTTACTCAGGTTAAGTCCTGGAAGGGAGGCATCCCTTGTGCAGAGGACGTGGGGTGCAGCAGGGGCAGAGCTCCTGCAGCCACAGCTCCCCACGCACACATCTGCTCCCTTGGGGTCCCTGCACTGCACTGCTCCACGTCCCTGCCAGGTCCCAGCACGCCGTGCCTCAGATTTTCTATATAGATTTATAATAACTTCAGGTTTCTCTCGCACACTTCAAACTTCCACCAAGGCCATTTTCTGCCTTCCCAGATGCCCCTTCCTGCCTTCAGACAGGCTATAAACTCCTAGCTGCTAACACTAGGATTAGCAAAATTAAAATTAAACACCGAATTTCTGAGCCAAATTTCAGCCCTGTACTCATTTAAAGCAAAGCAGCAACGCTGCAGGAGTCCTCCAGCAAGAGCAGTGCTTGTAATTCAGCAGGGCAGAGTGCTCACAGCACACCTCCCCATGCAGTGCCTGCGGCGCGCACCGGTGCCTGCTGCGCACCGACCCTTCCCTGCGCGTGCAGACGGCAGCGCTGGGATGCAGCAGGCGTGCTGGATTGGTGCAGGCAGCAGCTTTGTGCATTTTGGGCAGCGTGCCCTGAACCTCTGAAGCTGGAACGGATCTCATCAGCTTGGCTGGATTAGCAGATAGGACCCGAAGGTAAACACCGGGCGCACGTTGGCTGCAGACACATAATGAACCTCGTAAACCCATTACATGCAGCAGCACCGCCGTTCAGCACCAGGTAATCAGAGATTTAAAACAGCCCTTTCCTTCCGCTCAGATTTTTTTTTTATTGTTATTTATAACCTGTCCCAGGGAAAAATAATAAGTGAAACATGAAAACCCAACCGCGAGTGACCCTGTAGCACAAGCAGCGCTGCCGTTAATGTCGCGGGGATTTGCATGCTATCAAACTATTCATGCCGAGTCCAAGACCCCGGTGCTAATTTCCAGTAAATTTCATGCTTGATGTCTCCCCGTCGTGGGTCACTGCCGGTTCGCCTAAATAAACCACTTCCAAATGGCTCCTCCATCTAAATATTCCAGCCAGTTTTTATAATTTAATTTTGCATTATGCTGAGGAGCTCCTGGCCAGGCAGCGCTCGCTGGGGAAGCGCCGGCGCGTTGTGAGACGCCTCCATTTCTGTGCTTCCTTTATTTATTTTACTGCCCGAATCGGACCTCCTAGGCCGACGAGTAAAGGGGCTGGGCTTTTTTCCTTGGCTTGCTTTTTTTTTTTTTTCCCCCTCTGCTAATGTCAATTTTCAGCATAGCAAGAGCTGTCTCTAATCTTTTCCTACTCATTACACACAATTTTGGAGTCATTTTACCCACAGTGCAGCCGGCTCCTGGCAGTGTGTTTGTGTGCACTGAGGGGTGGCATAATTGTTTATTTTCCCTCCCTGCATAATCCCCAGGCAGCGCTGAAACCAACACGGCCAACACGGCCCCGAGGAGCACAGTGAGCATCAGCAGGGAGCAGGGCTGCCACCGCCCCAGCAAAGGCCAGAGCAGAGCTGCCTGGCACAGTGCACCCTGCAGCAGCTCCGTGTCTCCGTGCTCTGCCAGGAGCTGCTGTGCAGGTCTCTGGGGATGCACTGTGCAGCACTGGCATCTTCCCATAAATGAGCACCTTCTTTTCCACCCTGGGCCTCTGGTTCCAGCTCAGAAGCCACACAGTTTCTGAGGAACACACACTCACACTGTCACAGCAGCAGCCCTCCCCAGCGGGATCTCCTGCTGTTAGTGGACCTGTAATGTTCCTTCTGTGTGCAAAGTGCTGCACGCAGGTAAAAGGCCGTAATCCTTCACTTATTTAAATTTTATAGTATCAATCTCACGTTCCTGGCACTTCACAGAATTTCAAGCAGCACTATGTGATACAGAACTCTAACTGCCAGTACATTAACTGAGCAGTTTTATAACCATACGTGAGCAGGCACTGCCACCAAAAGGACTGCCCAGGACAGGGAGTCCATCCCTATACACACAGTGCTATCAGTGTGAGAAACCATCAGCAGGACGGTGCTTCCACTTGGTACAGTGTGCCCTTCCATTACCCAGTACTGCTGGCTTACTCAGCCCCAGTTCTAAACTGAGGCAGAAGGATATAAAGCAGAAGAGGTTTCCTGAGATTTCTGCTTAATTAGCCCAGGTTGGCAGCTGTACATTTTGTTAGCAACTAGCCAACAGTTACAGTCCAATTACCTGTTCTCACTGCAGCTGGTCTGGTCAGTTCCTGTAACCCTCCATGAGGGTATGTATAAAAATACAACAGTGTTGTTACGCTGAAAAGAACCTGATTTCAGATTTGCACTTGGCATGTTTGGTGTTATTCCCACACTGGCTGGTAAAGGCAAGAGCCAAGAAGGAAGGAAAGGAACAAAACCCTTTGCCACCACCACGGGTACCACAGCACCGCCCAACATCAGGGTACAACACCATCGGGGTACAGAAGTGGCCATTACCTTTCATGCCACCAGAGAAGCCTCTCCAGTTGGCAAAGACCATCAGAGGCAGCCCCTCCCTGTTGAAGTCGTTGATGGCCTGGGCTGTCTTAAAGGCAGAGTCAGGGAACCACACCTGACCAGCCTGCTGGATTATCTGTGGGAATGAGAAAGATTAGTAAACCCTCTTACCTTAGCAGTTAGCACAAAAAAATACAGAAACAGCTGCAGCAAGAATTGCAATGTGGAACCATCAATGCAGGGCGGAGCACACAAAATGCACAGGATCTGCTTGTCCACAGAAAAACTGGGACAATCCTTCCGTCACCAGCATCAAAAGGAGTGATGTTGCTGATTTCCCCATGGGGAGATGGCACAGGAAGCCCGATGCTGTGACTGCTGTAACAATGTGAAGGAGAAAGAAAAGCACATGCAGAGGAGAAGACTCAGAATAGATGATGCAGGGCCACAGCTGTGAAATCAGGCAGGAGAAGAGCAAAATGTCAAAGCAGCAGGAGCATGAAACGCTACGATCACAGCCAGGGAACAGGGAAACCATGTTTCCAATGCCCCACTCCCCATATCTCAGCCCACAGCAGAACTACTGGGGAATGTGGAGCAAACAGCCAACACAACCATCCCTGCTGTGTCAGCTCCCAGCCAAGGACTGGCTCTACTTTGTGTCCCATATTTGAAAGAAAAAAAATCCCACCAAAACAAATGCTCTTTTCTCAGAGACATTTGCAGAGGACAACCACACACACTCAGCTCACCTTGGCCTCTGAGTCCAGGTTCGCGGGATCAGCAGGGATGCTCAGCTCCACTGTTCTGGTTTCTACGGCAACTACTCCTACAGGTATTCCTCCCAGCCTGAAAGGAGGTGAGACACATCAAAATCCGTATTTTCACTGTTACACAACTAGACAGTTTTTCCAATTCACATCAAAATGCTCAGAAGAGACAAATAACGCGTGCAAATGGAGGAGGAGGAGGCTGCACTGTGGCCTTTTTGAAGAGTTTAGGCATGCAGTCGGATAATTTCAGAGCTGAATTTAGGGTTCTCAAAGCAAAACCTAGTTCTAAAAACTGCCATGTGCCTCACTGAGAATGAAACAGAATAGAACTCGCTGCACCTGTGCTGCTGCTATGACTCCCCTTGCTGGCGGCGGTGCACAGAGGTTTGGGGCTGCCTGCCTTGCTGCCTCCATCCCAGAGAGCTGCTCCTGCAGCCACCCGAGGAGGGACAGCAGGGCCAATGGGCACCAGGGGGCTGAGAACATTCCCATTCACTATGATTAAGAGTCTGCCCAGATACCCGTAATTGCAGAAGCCGTCTTAAATCGGTAACTTATAACTTCTATATTAGGGCCCATGTGACCTAATAAAGAACATCTTTATCCAAGTATTACAGTTATTTATTGAACTTGAAAACAGCTCAAAACAACTTCTGTTTTCCATTATACTTCATATAAATTTTATCAGGCTAGCACATGAAGATGCTACATCTTGTTTTATAGTGTGTCCCTGGACAAGTTGCCATAGAATAATAAAAGACAATTTACAGCCAACAGCACACATATTCCAAACATACATACAAAAGATGAGTTTTGGCAGCACTTATAGTAACAATCCCAGAAGAATATATTTGTATTTGTTTTTTCAAAGTGCCGCTGCTTTCAAAAGAAGTCTGTTTCATTTGTGTTATATATATGTGTGCATGGGAGAGCCCAGAGCAACTCGGAATTTGTCAGAAGGAACTGCAGGAGGGGCTGAGAACCAGCCTGGACAGAGACCTTCCAGCCTTGCCAAACCACCAGTTCTTTCTTTCCCCTGGAACACTGCTCAGTCTAAAAGCCTTTACAAGATCAGAGTACCTCGTCAGATAAAACTTTAGTGTGTTACAGATGGCAGATAAAAATACTGAAGTGTATCAAAAGGTCACAGCACAACCTGGGGTTACGTGCTGCAGTTAGGAGTGGAGTCTGCAGGTATTTTAGGTTCTTTTCAAAGATGTGTGAAGATCAGACAATGTTCTGAGTGGAATGGAACCCCTGGGACCAGCAGCGGTCACAGACACAGGGAGATGGCAGGGCTGAGCTGAACTGCTCAGAGCCCTTTGGTCGGGCAGGAGCAGCCCACATTCTGATATGGGATTGAAGGAAATAAGCATCCTCCTGATCCCATTCTGCTCTTGGAGAGTCCTAAGGAAGTCCCAGTCCCATTTTGCCACACATCTCTGCAGCACAGAAGACACCTGAGATCATCAGGAGCTGCACTGGAAAATGCTGCAAGCAATTCCATGCAAGTCTCAATGTTAAGCTCTTCTGTCTCTTGTAATTTATTCCAGTTTTAGATGAACTTCTCTTGCAAGTCAAGTGTGACCTCAGAGCACTAAGCTGTGCACCCTCCTTTTGGCTAACAGCTGCAGGAGGGCCTCACTGTGACCACATACCCAGAGAAGCACATTTTGTCTCTGTCATTTTTAACCACCTCTCTCTCTTTTTGGCTTTTGTGCATGTCACCTCCAAGCAAAACAGGAGCAATGATCAGTGCATGCTCCATTCGTGTGGTAAAGAAGTATCCTATTCAAGTAATGACTTATTTTTACTATCAACTTTGAAATGAGGTTCCAGAAAAAAAGTAACGTGTGATGAAAACATGATTTCCACAGACGTCTAAAAAGTCTCTCAGCATTTACCTTGCTCTGCCAACCACAACTGTCTGTGCCCAGGGCTGCATGATCTCCAGGAATGAGCCATTGTCGAAGAAACCACTCTGCCATTGTCCTTTCTGACCTAAAAGGAAGGGGAAAAAATGGAGACCTCAGAGGTGGGAGGAGGAAAGGAAAGTCAGAATACAGAAGGAACAACTGAAACTTGCTTAAAAATGCCAACTGGAGAATGTGGTGCTGCCTTTTGATGTATTTATTTATTTAATTTTAAACAGATTATAATACAAGGGAACATTAGACAGCTGAGCATTTGTCTGCCTTCAGCCATCATGTCTTATTTCATTTGCTAGCCTGCATAAAGACAGTCATTTATCAGCAAAAGCATCATTTATTGTTAAACGATGGGGTTCAGATAGCAGAGGGACTTTGCATGCTTTTAAATAAATAACTTTTTTTTTCGAGATAGGACAAACATTTGTCAAAAGGCAGCAAAGTCATTAAAGATGTTTTTCAAAATGCCTATTTCTATTTTAAAACTCAGCTCGCAGTTTTCTCTTGCTTCTGCCTGATATCTCCTGCAAAGAAATGCAAAAAATTCCGTAATACTTGAAAATGAGATGGCACATCTGAGAGCTTCACACATTCCTTGGGAAAACCTGAAGAAAAGTGCTGCATATTGAAAGCCTGCTCGCTCTGTACAGATACCAGATGCATCCCACAAACTGCTTTAGGAGTCACCATGCACTATCAGATCAATTCGTTGACCCAGAGGAGGCAGTGACTTCCCAGTGCCTCGAGGAAATCAAACCCCTGAAGAGCACAAAGAGCTGCCAAGGTGCTGCCCACCCAAAGGTATAAAACTCGTTCTGTGGCAGTCTGCTCTTCTCTGAGACTTCATGAAGCTTCTGCCAAAAAAAAAAAAAAAAGCCAACAAAAAAACCCTCCCAGCTTTACCTCTTGGCACAGAGCTTCTGAGGAATACTTTAATCTGAACAAGCACCTTTGCTTCTGCAAACCCAAGTCCAAAACCAATTAAAAGTGGAGATCCAAGCAAGCTAACCTCTGCTGACTTAAACAGGATGGAGAGTGTTTTATCAAGACCAAACTTGTAATTACTGTGTTCTACATTCCCTGCCTCTGTGGCCCCACTGTAAAATGTGACCATCCATTTCAAAATTATCTCTTTATCGTGAGCCCAAAGCTGATCGTTTAGATTCTGGCCTCGTGTCGGGCGTCAGTTTGAAGAATATCACGGCAATATCTCCTCTAATAAATGGCTTTAACTTTTCACCTAGGAGATATCTGCTTTAACTTATCACAGGGAATCATCTGCTTTCCTTAACGCTTCCACTAAATTAAAATCTGAAGTCACTCGATTTGGAAGGCAGCGCTTGCTGCGCTCAGACAGCTGGATGAATTACTTGAGAGATGATGAAAAAATATTATCCAAAAACAGAAAACTTAGTTTATCACAAATCTCATTTTAGCCCCCCAAACTCATTAATAACAGCAGGCATAATGGTCACCCAGTTTGCAGCTTGTACATACACAGGCTGCACAACCCCAAGTGCAGGTGCGGGGGTTCAGTGCTTGGCAGTATCTCCAGTACATTTACTCTCCAAGACCTGCAGGAATGCTGTGCATTGCCTCGAGTATGAAGGCTTTTGTATTTGCACTTTCCTCTCAACTGCAAAAAGAAAGTCTATAAAAGTAACTATTGTAAATGTTCCCAAGCACTCAGAAGTTATATGCTATTTTTGTATATTGCATCTAAATCCTTTAGAACTAATCATTTCATAAGCTCTGAAATGTATTTGGGCGCAGGCCTCGGACTTCTCTTCCCATTCCAACCAGCCTGATCCTTTTGAACTACCCACATTCACAGGGTGTCTGGCTGGGGGCAGGAGGCAGAATGGAATGCTTGAAGTCTGGAAGCAGGTGCAGAGAATCTTCAGACAGAACAGACAGATTCAGAATGCACCTGGCTTCACTCAAGTCCTGAAGTACCACAGAAAAAAGGTCCAGATTCACAGGGTTAGCACACAGGGCCTCCTGCCCCATTGGATAACATACCTCTGTTCTTTGTAACTCTAATTATGCAACAGGCATAGAACTGCACCAGAGTAATAATAATTTGATGCTGACAAAGCAGAAACAGATGTGGAGCTTTGAGTGTCCTGAACCAAGACACCACACAGTATGTCCTGACCACCAAACATCTACATACTTGGATTTGGGCGTCCAGCCAGCATCCAGCGAGGATCATAGGGAGTCTTGGTAGGAACAAAGTCTATGGTTCTGTCTATAGGATCCTTGACCTTGAGGATAGGAACAGGGCTGTATACGCTCTAAGGAAAAAAGAAAAATATTCGAAGTAGTAATTCTATGTAGCTTTGCACCAAACACCAAATGTAAAGCACCTGGTCAGAGTCTGCTTTCCACCACAGGGTACAACCCTGTAACATGGGATCTCAGAGCCTTGGCAGGAGTCTGAAGAAACTTCCAGGGTGCTCCGAACACTCTCAAAACACTTCCTTCAGCATCATCTGGTATGCACTCTGCTTTACTTGTTCCTGAACTTCAGGCACTGACAGCATTTGCAAGGGGTTGCAGTTTAATTTCTAAAGGTGACCAGACCATCAGACTCATTCATGCAGTCTTTCCTGAAAGAAGGTGACCTGCATGTTCTTACTGCTGCCTTCCTGGCTGCAGAGCAGCTAACACACATACATCAGCTGCTTCAAATTACTGCCTCAGAGAGGAACTTTTAGAGCCTTTCCAAAAAAGACAACCCACTGCCGACATCAAGTCCTGCCACCAGAGTACTGAAGACAGGACAGCAGGGGTGGGATGGGAGGTGGAAGTTCACCCAGCAGTGCCGGGCTGCCCTCATCCCAGCTTTGCAGGTCAGAAACTGCTCTGTGGAGTTCAGTACCACAACACCCAACTGCTTCAATCACGAGTCTAAATCATTTTGCTACGAACACAGGATAAGAAAAAGTATTCAGAGAGTCTGCCCTCCTCCCCAAAGCCTGTGGACAAAGAGAACAGGAAGCGACACGCCGCACTCCTGCAGGTCCAGGAATTACCTTGGGCATGTAGGAAAGCCACAGCAGAATGGTGTAGACTCCTTCAAAATCATCGCACACGGTGCCGTGGGTCACCCCGTTGTTGTGCATGATCTGGATCCCACCCAGCTGGTTGTTGGAGGTGTACACCTCCCGACCCAGCACCTTGAAAGGAAAAACAGGGAAACCATCAGAGGATGGGATGCGGACAGCAGGTGCAGACTGAGGAGATGCATACAGCAAGTCACCGTCACTTCAGCAGCAGAGGATGGAGCGATGGCTCCCAACTGACCTTCCTGCACATAGCTGAGATCTGCAGGTATGGATGTCCAAGGGAAATGGCACTCGTGGAAAGCTGAGGCAGCCGTCCCACTGCCCCTTCCGAGCAGCTGAGACATGAACAAGTCTCCTGAGCACTGACCCGGCTGCAGCGAAACCCTTAACTGGGCAGAAAAGCCACGTGCTGCAGAAGGGACAGCACAGACAAAGCCCCAGCTCTGAGAGGTTGGGAGATCAGACGAGTGCTGCGTCTGACTCTCCTGGCTCCATCGCCAGCCTCAGCCCGGGCTCTGCAGCTCTTTTCTCATTCCCCCGCTGTCTCTTTCCATTTGCCCTCTTGCTGACTGATACACTGATCTCTCGGTCACTCGGCTTTCTGCTCCACTGAGTCCATATTACTAATAACACCTCTGCCACGGCCAGTTTACCTCATGAAGGCAGGAGCACATCATTACAAAATAAACTCATAACTTTGACATTCTAGCAAATATATGCCGTTTGTTATTTTTATGGGTTGAGTCTTTCTAACAGACAGAGGGCATTACATACCTGCTTCATTTAGATCTTAAAACCCCCTCAGACGCAGGCAGACAACTCGTCCTCCCCCAGTAACCCACCAGCACAGCTCCATTCAGGATGAGGACCCCCAGGGAGGAGCAGCCCAAGCCCAGGGCAGCGCTAAGGATGGGATGCTCGGGTCTGACTGCTTCCGAGGGCAGAACACCCAGTGTCCTGCCAGGAGTGCTGCTGGGACACAGAGGTGCTGCACTCCTCAGGATCCGATCCTTTGGGCAGAGAGCAGAGGTGTCAAAGGGATGGGAGAACAGAAGCTCTGCTCTGACCATAAGTTGCCCTGCATGAGCAGTGCTCTTCCTGCACACACCGGTTAACTGAGGCTGGGGTCGTGCCCTGTGCCCACCATTGCTGAACTGCAAAGGTACAACACTTCTATTTGCTAACTCCAAAAGAAAGCACGGATCTCGCGATGCCAGTCACAAGCCTAGCTAAATGCTTTCCGCAGAGGAAAATAAAAATAAAGAGGATTTAAGCTCCCCATCTATGAACTAATGCAAACGTATGCACATGCAAAATGGGCCTCTGCTGCTGCTTATCTGGAGACCACGCCAACAGTGCAGGTTTACCGCCGCTGACAGGCAGTGAAAGCAGCCTAATATACCTCCTGCTCGTGGCCCTAAATCCCTTTTTGGAGATGAAGACAGATACGCAGCTCCCTCTCCTGAGTGCTGCAGACATCTCTGTGAAGTGGCAGAGCACTGCGAGGGGCGGCACGAACAGAACCCCCCCGCAGCATTTACCCATCAGTGCTTGTCGGCAGCGCAGCCCCAGGCTGCACTGAAGGCTGTGCAGAGGGGTGATGTCCCGTGTGCCCGCTGCAGCTGAGCTGGGAGCAGAGGTCAGGAGGCAGCGAGGGGCCAGCAGTGTGCACAGTGATATGGGGCTGGAGAAAAATGAATGCAATGGCTCATCCATTCGGCTCCGCTAACCGCCTCATCTCTGACCTCGCAGGACTACATTTTTAAAGGCTGACAAGTAATTCAATCTCCAATTAACAATTTTAAATGGTGCAATGCATATTGCTGTATAAATGTTTCTGCAAGAAAATATCCAAGGGTGAAAGAGAATACATCTGCTGGAGGAGCCCAGAACTGATGCTTCTGCAATTAACCGATTCAGATATTCCTCAATAAGACACACGGTCAGCAGAGGCATGAGTGGATTTAGAAATGCTGCCAATCAGTTAAATGGAGAATGCCAAACCAAGGAAAGACTGCGTGGGATTAAATCCCGCATGGAACACAACCAGGGCTGAGTGTGCAGAGTGGGTCCCTCCTGGCAGAGAGGCCACTTCTCCAGGGACAAAGATACAGCGACCACAGAGCAGAGATCAGGAAAGGCACAGTGTGAGGGGTGGGAAGGACAGGATCCAACTCTCACAGATCAGATATGCAACGCACCTGAATTATCAGTAATGCTTAAGCTCTGATCTTTCACCTTATACGATGGGAAACCAGACAAAGAAGAACATCCATGAACAGCAAGGCACTGGACAGTAAGCTTCTGGCTCCAAATGAAAATTCCATCCACTCTACAAAATCCAGAGGACATTTCTGCCCACCCCACTCTGACACACTACCAGTAACGAGGAGTGGTCCCACACAGAGATCCCACACTTGCTCATTCTGAGGTTTCCCCTTACTGTACTGCAGCATTCCAGTGCCCGGCATTTGGGATAACGTCTCCAGTTTCCCATTCATTGCAGCTGCTGACTCCTCTGTGCCTCCACCTCAACAAGAAGATAATGACATCAGTGAAGTGCTCCAAAGGAGATGGTAGATCTAGAACTGCATGTGTTAAAGCTCAGCCCATGGCTGTAGGAACACACCTTCCAGATAATGCAAGCCCATGTTTACAAAATACCCCAGCAGAATTGCCACCATCTGTTCAGTTCTACAGAAGCCTTCCTAGGAGGACATCACATCTCTTTCCACTGTAGGGGATCTTTTGGGAAGTACAAAGGAGAGCAGGGTTCTAGCAGCCCTTCCAGCCCTCAGAAGGCCCTTCCCACCAGGCCTATAGGCATGCCATGTGCATGCTGACCATTTTCTAGCACTCCAACCTGTGCTGACCAGCAGCTCTCACTGCACTTCTTTGCAGAAGCTGAGCTGCTGGAGCTGAGACATTCACTGCAGAGCTGCTCTGGCTGCAGACTTGATTGGCTCAAATGTTTCATCAAAGATGAAAGATGTGAAAAAATGACAGCAGAGGGCTTGAATGGGAATCATCATGTAACATAAGTGCTGTTATTATTCAGAGCATATCATGTGTTTATATCAAATATAAGTGCCAGATTTTTATCCAAATAATTTCAATAATTGCAATTCCCATCCCACAATTTATATTATCTGCCAGAAACCTGAAGCAGAAAGGCACATGCACATACTATAAATAGCCTATTTTTCATAAACAGGCAGAAATGATCAGAACGAATGTCTCATCAGAAAACACAATGTAGGAACTTAAAACCTGACTGCTGTTACGTGCAGTCAAGCCTCAACAGATCTTAGGGCGTTCATTTCCATCCCTCAGCTCTTCCTCCACACGTATCATGTCATTAGAGGGCAAAAGAGAAGCAACCCCAGGCAGAGAAGTGGGCTGGGGGAGATGCAGCAGGAGCGGGTGCTCTTCTTGCATCTCTAATCCACCGGCGTGTGCAGTTCCTGCACTTTTAATTTACGAGCGTTCGGTGGGGGACCCTTCTGACTTGGGAACATATTGGCTCGGTCTAATGCTTGGAGATTATTAAAGTCAGAGCTATACTCCACTATCAAGTCTACAGATCTTTTATTTAGAAGATATGGTGCTCTAAATGCACAAAGAGCTCCCTGTCACCTTCACATTAAAGCCCCTAGTGCCTGGTAAATGGAATTATATAGCTGTCATCTCCTTTCCCCAAAGTTTTAAGAGTACAATGGGCTCATTTTTTCACACTCCATCCCAGCTTCAGAACTAAGAGACCTACTTTGTATTGATTTAAAGTCTCAGAAATAAATAAACCTGCTTCACCAATGTGATTCACAAGAAATTCATGATACACTATTGCATGATATATTTCAAGCTGTGGCTCCAGCTCTTTTTTTCCTTTGGTGAGTGATGGGGGAGGTGGGAGGCAGGGGGAGGTGGGGGAAGCTGACAGCCTGATGGTTATTGGAGATGGCTCCTGACTGCAAATCCAGAGCGGGGCCTGCCAGTGGAGGCCTCTCCTTGTTTAATTTGGGGAGATCAGAGGGGGAAGGGGAAGAAGCAATTGCATGGGAGGCAGCAGGGGAAGATGCATCCAGATGGACACTGCTGCTGCAGCTGGCCTTGCCGTGGTGCCTTCTGCCTGATGATCCCAAAGCACCTGGCTGATGCAGATGGCAACATGAAACGTTTCTGGGAGGAAATCACCTCCTTCCTGTAAGGATTTATGGGAGCTTTGGAAAATTTCCTCTTCTGGACTGCAAAACTTGCAATCCCAAGATTTGACCAGTCAGACAGGATCACGACTGCCTCTGACATCTTTGGTGGAGACGTTAGAAATAAAAGTTAATTTGAAATGAAAATCCAGTTGGAATAGAAGAGCTTTTCGTTTGACAAAATGAAAAAATTTTGAACAAGGAATTCATCAAAATCAGTACCTTTTCCTGAAGAGTCCCCATTCCATTGAATTGGCATTTTCAAATGAAAAATGTCTTGTCAAAAAATTCCTGCCCAGCTCTCCTTTTGCAGTGTAGGGAGACAGCATGTTCTGCTCAAGGTCACTCCAGCAGTCAGTGGTAAATCAAAAGGACTCAATATACTTTGCAAAGTAAGATTACAGCCCCCTGTTCTACATGGTGCAAACACTCATAAATCCCATCTGTCCCAGATAGGGGTTCCCTACTCTCGACAACAGCCCTATAAACAGTATTAATAATTGTCTCCATGATACTTAGTGATCTTGCTTTTGGTCATTCCTTTGGCCACCTTCTAAGCCCCATCAGAACCCTCTTGTTCAGAAACCAACCAAAGGCACAGCTCCAGCACAGGACAATGAAACTTTGTTCACTCTGTATCATGGTTTTGAGTTTAATCAGGAGATTTTTCCAGAGCAGCTCCTGAAGTTCCCACTCACCCACCCAGAATGGCAGAAAATGTATCTCCAATTCACAGCTGAGAAAAGCCACAGGCCATCATCCCGACATGCTCCCAGGGACGCCCCAAGAGACGGGAGGGCAGGACCAGCTGTTCTGGGACACATCTGAAAAATGTCTTCTTCCATTCAGCTCCAGTGGGATGTGAGGTGGCAGAGCACTCCACTGAAATGTACCTTAAAGGATCACCAG